TATTATGTTTTGATAAATTATTTTGAAATATCTAATTAATACATATTATGTAATTATTTACTAAAAATTAAAATTTATTGTGGCCTATAATATTTATTTATTTTCAAAATTTTAATTTTTATTATTGGCCGGAAAATGTTATAACCTTAAATCTTAATTATGCAGAATATTGCAACTCTATAGTACAGAAATTTTCTTTTTATTCAGTTACACGGAAACCTGCTAAAAACGGAAATCTTTATTGGTCTCGTGAAATTCCGCACAGGACAGGTTTTACTGTATACCTATAGGCTATAGGTAGTAAATAATAGTACCTACACTTTCCAACTTCACGTGAAACTATAAGTGATTTAAATGCATTTAAATATGGTTATCAACAATAGGTACCTAATGGAAATTAGTAAGCTACAGTGACTATAAGTAGGCAGATACCTATAAAGTAAAAGGCAATACTTATACCTAAATCGAGTTTAGTATAATACCTACTATCTAATTATAATTATTGAAATTCACCTTTCTCTAGAAAGTCATAAATAACCGCTGTTGGACTAATTAGATATAAAAACTTTTTTATCATTACACTTCGATTATTGTACGCTTTAATAGTCCAAGTATTAGTGATTTACACTAAAAACAACTTGCATGTTAAGTATAATCACTATTCACTAATCGGTACAGTGGGGAAAGTTATATTAAAATATTTGAAGGACCAAAAATATTTTATCCGAAAATAAATTTACCAAACTAAAATAGGTATTCGAGAAGTACAGTATTTTTGCCGAAAAAAATGAAAATAAACATCCAAAAACATAATAACCAAAAATTATTATTTACCTCCAAAAAAATGTATCATAACTTGACCAACAAATATGTTGTCTAAATGTCAATTTTCTTTTGTCCTGATCATTATTTGGTCAACAAATATTTGATATTAGGGATAAAAAATACAGCAGTAAAAAATGTATTTAGATAAAAAGATGCCGAAAAAGTCACTGTAAAATGAGTTGCAATAAAAAATAAAAACGATTTTTTTCGACTATACTTATTATTTTAAAATAAATTGAATTAATTAATCTTATCAATAACTAGCAGATGAAAATTAACACAAGATTAAAGTCTTACAATTTGACCTACTGCACTGATCGTCTTTACACAATATACATTAAAGTCTATACATTTTATAGTAGGTATCCTATAAAGTAGATACCTACCTATCTACTTACTTATTAGTTATTATACGTATCCAGTTTGTGTTTAGAGTTTCCTATATGCATGTGTTTAATAATGAAAGTTTTAAACCAGATAAAGGAAATAATAAAATTGTACTACATAGATATACTATAGGTACTTACTACCATTGATTATTTTTTTGCTACTACTTTTACCTACACAAGAAATGCAAAAAAATCATCAATGAAATGTATTGTACCTACCTAATATTAATCATAGATTTAAACTATAAAAAAATTGTACATAAGTCATTTATTAATTAAAATACCTATCAAAATTTAAAACAACATTTAACCTAACCTTTGAGTTAATTTTGGGTAGTGGCACTATTTTGCAATACATAGGTACAATGAGCCGATAAAGTGTGTGATTTTTGGATGCACCCACACTGCATCCACCACTTATTTACAAATTACGATAATGTTTTCCGAAATTTGACTATTATCAAACGTATAAATAATAATTACTAGGGTTCGGAAATTGATGCATTTTACATTTTTTTTTTTGGAATTTATTAGACGATTCTCTTCTGGCTACAAATGTTTTTCATAAACATGTGAATTTAAATAACTAATTTTTATTTCGCATTTTTTTTTTTTACTTTTCAAATCATTTTTTTGTCATTTTTAAGTCATATTTTTCTTTTCAAGTAATTTTTGTCATTTTTAGGTCCTATTATCCTTTTTAATTCAATTTCGTATATTTATTATTAGATTTTGTCAATTAACATCTTTACATTAATAGTTTTTGTTTTTTACAGACTGTATATAAGTACCTAGGTACATCAAATTTATATTTTACACAAGTTGTATATGGATTAGGTAAAGATAAAGATTTGATAGAATAAAGCAATTGCTAGTTGTCATTTTTACTTTTAATAACATAAAATAATCTTTAATAGTACCTACTACCTACCTACAGGCTACAATGTATTAATTTTGAGTAATTTTTATTATTATTACAATTTTTTTATTTTTTTGAAAAAAATGTATTTTTACTAATTTTAAGCGAATATTTATAATTTATTAGGTCGTTTTTTATGATTTTCTGTCATTTTTTAATGTTTTAAGATCATCAACTTCCGAGCTCTAATAATTAGGTAGGTACATAAACAGTTTGATTCAAACATTAAACTCATAACTTCGAAAATGAATCTAATCAAATGTATTGTATATTGACAATATGTTGTGTCGTCGTCTTAAACCTTAGTGCAATAATAAGTATATGATAGCCGATAGGTAAGTATTTTACTCAAAGAAAATCTTGACCGCAAATACTTGTTAAATCTAATCTATTTATGTTTAACTGTATATTTACTACAAAACAAGCTATCTTAATTTATGGTATTTACACATGGTTATTTTACTTTGTTATTTATGTATTAGAATCATTTTTTAATGTTTTAACCCATAGTATAATTAGTATAAAATAGTATGATAATAATACTTAATTAAAATTCGATTAATATTTTTATATTGTATTAATATATAAATGTATTCACTTATATTAGATATATTTAATGATATTTCAAAATGGTAAATTGTTGTTCTATCAAAGGTTGTTCAATTAATTCGAAAATTTCAGGAATCAAACATCATAAGCAATTTATTATTATAACTGTTAATAGTTTATTAAAAACTATATCATTCAGGGTATAGGTACTGAAATACAATAGGTATGGGTAAAAACTGAACTACTGTAATACAAAAAATGAGCCTAGAATTTGTACTTACAGCATGTTTCATTTTTTTAAATATTGATAATGTAATCATATATGACCTTATATGTCATTATGCTAAAAGTTCAAAGATGATAATTTTTTTTTTTTTTTTTTATGTGATTAAAAACCTAGAAAGTTAATTATTACTATTATTTTTTTATATAGATATTTTGATTACATGTTATGACCAATATACCATTCTCCATATTCCTAATTATATAATATTCCAACACTTGACATTTGATCAAAATTAAAAATACTAGATAGATATTATTGAATTTTAGGTATGGTATCTTTAAATTATACATTATAATATATAGGTATATTAGTTTATGAATCATTAAATATAATAACATTCAAGATGTAATAGGTTGGTAAATACATAAATTTGTGAAAAAACACATAGCATAACAATTAGACTGAGCATATACAGTGTGGAAAGATTTGTCTGATCTTCCCTACATTCATAATATGTATTGATAAAAGCATAAATTAGAAAACATTTACAAATTAAGTACAAATAATTTTTAGTACTTAATACAAATTTAATTTTAAATAGTCATGATAGTACTGTACATTATAGTTAGATAGGTACTCATCTATGTCAATACATACATTGCATTACTTGTAAGTTACTAATTGTATATATTTTACAAGAATCTGAATAATATATTGTTCATTTTTTTTTTTTTTTTTAATTTATGTATAGTTTTTGTTTAGAAATAATTATTATAAATGACTACTCTATATTAATCAGGTTAAGCATGAATGCATTATGTTCACAAATATCAACATTGGTACATACATTTTGTAGAGACTACTATTAAAAATGTACACTCAAGTAGAGGTAAAATTATTAAATTATACAGGTAATTTTTTGTACTCATTCATGAAATAATTCAATCAGTGTTAATAATGAATTTCATTTTAGATGAACTGTGAAATAGTAGTTCTATTCAAAGTAAATACACACTAGCATTTTATATCATAAATCATAATAAACGGTACAAGTGAATATTCAAAAATATCAATTATTTAATATAGATTATAATCTTAAGTCAGTATTTTAAACTGAGCTCCAAATTAATATTAAATTGTACACGGAATTATAGTATATGACTTAGTATTAAAATATGTTAAGAAACTGAAAATGTAGCCAACTAGTTAAGTAAGCTTTCTTAACTTGTTTTTTTTTACATTAAATTTAAATGTATTTAATAATTTAAATAAATATCTTATAAAATATGTTATTTTTAATAGATTTTATCAATTCATTCAAAGAAGTTCAAACATAAATACAGCATGTAAAATATATTTATTTTTATTCTATACATTTACTATTTAATAATTCATCATACAGATATTTCACTAAGTAAATGTAATTATAATGTCCACTATTTTTGTACGTCTTCCATGAAATAAAAGTTTAATGTTTAATGTTTTTTTATTTATTATTAAGTTCATTAATTTTTAAAGGAGCAACTCATTTTTGATTTCAGTTTTATATTTTTTGAAAACGCTATTTTTTACATTAGACCATTCATTGTATCACAATACTTTCAACTTTGTAATTGTAATTTTATTAAAAGAATATTGTTAATAATAAATTATATTTTTAATGGTTTCCTTAGCGTTTTTAATAAATTGACATTGTATTAGCTTTAACTATTGACAAAAAAAACTAATTTATAAAGAAAAAAAAACTTAGTTTATAAACCTTGATCTCAAAGACCACAGTTAGGTATGATGTGTTTTTTAAAATAGGTTTGTTTGGTATAATTAATTAGTAATTTTTATAATATTTAATTATTAGTTTAACTGAAGAATATTATGTGTACAGTAAACATTTATCAAATATCTACCAAAACAAATCAGTACAGTGGGTCATATAAATAATGATGTGAAAACAAGAACATTATTAGATGCCTAAAAAGTTTTATTTGAAGTAAAATATTTAATCGTTGAACTAAATTATTAAATTCCCAAACCAAAAAAAAAAATTATACAAATGAATATTGTTTTAAACATAACAACAAAATATTATCAAAAATGTAAAAAAATTAAGTTTGTAGAATTAAAAGTAAAATATAAATTGTTATGTGAATAAGTTATTAAATTAACGAGTTTGAAACATGAGATGACTAGCACCATCCATTTCTGAAGCCACTGTTATACCGGAAACATGGCTGTGGTTTTGCCCGCCAATTATTACTTTACATTCTGGACAAAGAGCCTGTTGCATTGGCCCTCCACATTCTGTTATACAATAAATATGTCCATTGGGACACTTGCACCAATGACCCTGAGCTCTATCACTCGAATAAAAACTAGAGGACATAGCTTTATGTATCATTTTTCTTTCTTCTTCGGTAATAATTGCCAATCCATCAAATTTATCATAAATTAATTTGGTTAATACGTCTATACTTTCTTCACTTTCAACAGAGTATTTTTTACAAGACATTAATATAGCTTCCATATTGTCTACTAAGGCTCTTACTTCAGTTGCGCTAGAACTATGCCTATATCCACATGCCATCTTAAACTTAGGATTAGACATTATTTCAAATAAATGTAATATCCTAGCACCTCTTGCAACTTCCATGTTTATATCGTATTTTTGTTGGCTAGATAATTGTCTTGAATAAGTAAAAGCAACTTCAAGTAGCCACTTAAAGTGATTAGTAATGGTTTGTTTCTTTTGGATATCATCAATGCCTTCAATTTTTCCTTTAAACTTTGAAGTAGTTTTAAATAAATCAACGACAAAATTTAAAGATTCTATATCTTTTGCAGGTAAATTGAAGTAACGCTTCTTTCCTGAACATTTTAATGAAGCTATTAAAGGCTTGCAAAATGAATCCCATAGATGTTTGATATTATCATATCCATTATTTTGATCACTAAAAAAATTTGAAACAAAATTGTTATCCAAGGATTGTAATGAAAAAATTAGTTTCTTCTTTCCTCTTTTAATAACATCTAGTTCTCCACGCTGTATATCTTTTATTCTTGAAATGTCCTCTACTATAACTTTTACTTGGTTCATGAAACGTTGGGTTCTTAAAATTGGTGTCTTACATAATGGACACTGTTTCAAACAAATTTCTTTATCGTTTTGGTGCATCCATTTAGATAAAGCTTCTGATTCAATGGAATGTTTACAATCTTCTAAATAAACAAATCTAAAACATACAACATAATTATTGAATAATTTACATACAAATCACAGCTAATGCATGTAGAATGTTTTTAGTTCTATGACATATATATATTCATTGTTGTAACTGTTGTAACAATATATAATGATTTACCTAACCTTTATTTATTATGACTAAGTAATTTTTTAAAAGCTCTAACAAAACATACAAATGAACAACTAAATTTAATGTTCACATTTACTGAAAATATCAAAATACATTTCCAAGATATAAAAAAAAAATACTAAATTAATATATTTATTGTATTTCTTCTAAATTAATTTACTTTGCATTTGGTTCATCTTCATTGCCAAAAATAATTGTAGTAACTTCTTCTTCTTGACATATGCGACATAGAGGAGGACATGGTTCACCACAAAATCCTATACATTCATGCCCACAATTCAGCTTTAATGTGCAAGGCTCATTACATGGTTTTCGATCACAAATTTCATTACATTTTTTAGTGCATTTCAAATGTGGACACTCCCATCCACATTTTTCCTATAATTAAAATCAATAGATACAATATATTAGAAAAAAAAAATATTAATGCATTTTTTCTTATTATTAATTATTACCATGCATGGTGCACATTGATTACCACACAAACGAGGACATTTAGAATGAATGCAAGAATAAATACATTTTTGATTGCAAGGAGGGCACCGTTCCTTACAGGGAGATTTACAACTATAAAAATAATTAAATATAAAATTAATAATTTATTAATTACATTTTTAATAAAATATACACATACGTATGATTACAAGGGTTTATCTTGTCGCAAATCTCACCGCAAGGAATATGTAATCGACCTTGCTTACATTCTCCACAAGTGCCCAAACAAATGTCTCCACAATTTAATTTTTGTAGACATGGTTCACGGCATTTATCAAGTAGATATTGGCTACTCAGTCTGAACTCTAAAATATATAATCTTATTTATTAATTCAATTTTTATTTACAGAATACAGGTATAACAAACAAAACAGGAAAATTTAATAAGATCAATAAGATCATATTTTATATTTTAAATATCCTAATGACTAATAAATAATAAAACAATTAATCCTAACTAATCATAATATACACTATATATTAAGAGTTTAGTTAAATTTTTTAAAAAAATAAACAAATTTTTTAAGAGTTAAAATTTTAATTTAATTCTTTAATACCATTATTTTTACTAGCCTGTCTTTAATAAAAGGATACATAAATAAAGAAGGCAACCAATATCAAAATTAAAGACATATCTTATTCACTATTATAAAATAGATGTTAATTTAATTTAAATTTAAATCAAGAATACATTACTACTGTGCATTGTTTCACTGCAATATATACTTTAAGATAATTAATGATTGCATACTAAAATATATTTAAAATTGATGACTAATATTAAATATATTTTTTCATACACTTGTTATCAATAATATGAACTTAACAATTAGTAAGCAGTATAAAATTAAAGGTTAAAATAACCCAAATAATATTTATGTATTTTATATAATACATTATAGAATATATTTCAATAGTTTTGATACTTTGATTTTATAATCATATATTTTAAAATTTAAATGAAACGTATGTAACTATAACCACATGGTAAAATTTTATACAAGTACTTTCTTTCACTACTATTATTTTAATCTACAAGTCATCAGAAATATGTTTTTAAATAAAATATAATATATGGTCAAAATTAAAATCAAACTTATGTAACATCATATGTTATAACATGTTTAATTAAGCATAGAATTTTTCAATAGTATGAAAATAAAATATATTACCTTTATCTTTGTCACAACATAAGACCCAAACTTTATTATGACCACAATCAAGTTTACTAAATTTTTTAAATACAATTTCCTCACATTCTTCAGGATTACATTCTTTTGCACATAAATTCTTACACAAATGCCCGCAAATTAAAATTCGATCACATTGCTTGGTACAATGCTTACGTTCTGGTATTGTTTTACATTTAATTGTGGTTGAGTGTCCACAGTCTGGAATCATTTTTTTTATCTGGAAAAATATAGAATAAACAAAACTGATTGACAGAAGAAAATATTTAACTTACTAGTTTTTCACAAGGTTTACATGGTTCATAGCATTTAGCTAAACACTTATGACCACATTTTAAAGGACGAATACATGGAAGATAACACATAACTTTATTAACACTTAATCCACAAGGTACATCATTTCTTTTGTGTCCACATAGCAGAGTTTTCTCAACTTTAACAGTACACGATGCACAATCTTCATAACATAATTTTTGACATTTGTGATTTAAAGAGCACTTTTTATTAGTATTTTCACAAGGTTTAAAACATTTGTACTGTGAATGAATTTTAAAATATTACAAACATAGCTATTTATTCAATATATAACACATTTTAATAAACTAAAATTACCTTTTCATGGTCTGGATCATCATTTTTGTGACAATTGCGCTCACAAGCATGGCCACAATCTAACCGAATATAACATTTAACTGAACAATTTGGATTATTGTCATGACATTTTTTCATAATTTTATGACCACATTCTTTAAGGATTAATTCCACCTAAATTTAAGTATTTAAGTTTTAAGGACAATTTCTAATTAAAATAATATACTATACAGTAGTCTCGTTAATCCAAACACAGGCTAATCCGAAAGAGCTTGGAAATAGCTGCATTGCTATATTAATACACATGACTATCATTATCATAATTTATAATTATATGCAATATAATATAAACATATTAGCTGGCTGTATATACATAATTATAAAGATTTTGAATGTAAACGTTGTTGTGTTTTTCAACAACGAACTTTATGAATTAATACTGCAGTATAGATAGAGATTAATTTCAAAATTTTAGCTGCAAGAAAATTTATTTTTCTTTTAAGACATGAGTAATCCGAACAAATCATTAATCCAAATGATCCCTTTTCCCAATCTTATTTGGATTAACAAGACCCAAGAGTACTAAAAAAAGTTAGAAGTGCAATAATAAAACTCCAACCATTTCTTCACATGGATAAGTATTAATATCAACATGGCATGGTAATTCTTTTTGATGACCACATGGTAAATCTTTTGTCATAAGTATGGTGCACTGTCCACAATCCATAAAACATATTTTTGTACATGGATGATTATAATCACAGGATCTATGATACATGCATATATTGCAAAATAATTAAAAATCTTTTCTAAAAACTATAAATTAAACCTTTAAACATTTTACTTGTTACAAGGCTCCCTGCATTTTTTTTTTAAATGTTCACGGTCAAAAGAATGACATACACTTGAACAATAATGACCACATGACAACAATGATTTACACAACATGGAGCAACCACCTTCCGTAATTATGTTGAAATCTTCACTCTTTGAAACCTTTGTTATAACACCAGAATGTATGGCACATTCTAAAGATACTTCATCACCTAGAAAAATGATTTAGAAAAATTAAAATATATCTACCATAACTAAATAAAAATAATATATTTACCATATGAACCCTGATTTACCAATGTTTCTTTTATTTGTTTCCACAAATTACTAGAATTACACAAATTGTTCATGTTACCCATTATATAAAATCCATATTTTGCTCTTGATAATGCAACACATATTCTGTTCTCTGTTTTTAAAAAACCAACATTTCCATTTTCATTACTTCTAACTAGCGATAGCAATATAATATCATTTTCTTCGCCTTGATAGTTATCAACAACTGTTATTTTCATACCTTCTAATATTGAATGTTTTTTTCGCAACTAAAAATATATTGAAAATTATTTATTATACCCAAATATTTAATTATTTAAAATAAAAATCAATATAATAATAATATCCTTCTTATATTTTTCCATAAGAACATCCAACAACATGTAAACTGTCATCTTATCTCCTAAGTCCAGCTTAGATTATATTCAAAATTGTTTCCTTCGCTTTATAACCTTATAAATTCTAATATTAGTAATGTACTACACTTTTTATAATCAGCCATTATTTAATTTTGTATTATACTTTCCTTGATCACTTTAGCCATCCATCTAAGAATTTTTATCTCTACTATACTCATCTTCTATTTTATCTTTTTGTGTGCTACCCCCCCCCCCCCCCAAAATGAACTAGATAACATCTTAAAAATCTTCTATTTAATCTTATAGGCATCCTCTTATACACAAAATACCAGATTGTTTTATCCATGTTATCCATCTATACTTAATCATACATTTTTGATGTCTACTATTTTACTATCAATACTATCGTTCCCACCAGTATATCACTATCGAATTTTCAGAAATCATACTTGGTTTCCTCTGTTTTACCCAGACAAATTCTTAGTTATTAATCTACAAGCACTACTCTTCTTCGTCCAGTCTCTTATTTACTCATTTCAAGATTACTTCTATTATTACATCATTTACAAACATTAACATAATTAAAATTAAAATACAAATTAAATATGTAACATAAATTGTATTATTTATAAGAGATAAACAAAAATAGTCATACAAATTTAAAAAAAAAAAAAAAAAACATAAACTTACTGAACGAATTAGAAATAATTGACCACTGTAAGTTGTTAATATTGTCACTTGTTTAGTTGTATATCCTTGTAAAATTAAATGCCTAGCAAACGCAATTAAAAATCTAGCTTCATGATCATTACTTTTGCTTGAAATTTCTTCAACCTATGCTTAGAATAATTATATTAATAAAATTAAATTGTAATGAAATACAATCAAATAACATACTTCTTTTTCATACACATTATGGTTTAGGAAGAACACATCTTTGGTAACACCACAAATGTGTTCTCTATTGTGAACAGAAATATGATTTTTCAATTCATTATAGATTGATGGAGTTATAAGGGATGCTATTTCAGGGCGCATTCTATGTTGTTCACCCAACATGTAACAAGGTACTTCGTTATTGACCATACGTTCAAACAGTGAAATATCAAAATTAAAATCTTTGGCTAATTTGTAAACTGCATTACTAGGACGGAGTTGTTTATGGTCGCCTAAATATGAAAAATAATATCATAATTTTTAACATTATTTCGCTTATAAAGTAAATATAAATACCTATCAATATAAGATGTTGACAATGTCTTGTTAATGATGCAACTATGTGTGCCTCCAAAACTTCAGCAGCTTCTTCAACAACAACTAAAATTAAAACTAACTATTAAATTTGTAAAAATTAAAATTAAAAAATGTAATACATACCAATTGGCGACTCTAAACCTTCCAGCATTATTCTATGCTTAGCTGCACCAGTAGTAGTTAATGCAATTACATGCATATCACTTAATAACTCTATATTTTCCAATTCTCTTAATTCAGAATACTGCTTATAAACTTGAATATATTTTTCTTCATAATTCATTATTTTTGGATTAAACATCTCTTTTGTTTTTCGCACCCAACAATAATATAGAGACCATCTTTGACCCATATTTAATACATTTAAATTATTAATTGATTTTGGTAGTTCAATACAAATATTAGCCAAATTTAACATGTTTTCAAAATAATCATGAATCTTTTCCATTACATCAAATTTGAATTTGACTTCTTCAGATTGGTTGTAGTAATTTATATCCAAATTCAAAAGATTCTTTAATCGTATATTTTCCTCAAGAAGTTCCTTGCAAACATGTTTTATGTCATTCAAAGTTATACTATAAATAACAATTTCTTTATATTTATGTTCTATTTCTAAATAATCTGGTTCATATTGACTATTTTCATCATCATCATTTTCATTTACTTCTTTTTCAATTTTCAATAATTTTTCAGAATGATAAACTTTATTAATCAATTCAGGGTTAATACTAGTAATAAATCCAATTGGGTCTACATTAAAATAATTAGGATCTTGAAATAACCAAGAGAGTAGATCTAAGGTAGTATTAAAAAAATTATGATATTTTATAGGCATACCATTTTTTAATAACGATAACTCTAAAATTCCCGCATTGTACGATACAACATCACTACATTTTTTAAAATAGTTTATGTTATCCATAATTGTTTTTACTTGATTTTGAACATCTCTTAGGCCTCTATTAGTAGTAATGGATCTTCTGTACATACGAGCAACATTTCTTAAGCTGTATTTTTCTATAATTTCAGATTTAGATTGACCACCAATTCGTATAACTTTGTCAGTGAAACTTAAAATACCTTCCATGAATTGATCTAATGCATGGTTAGTGTAGCAAACCACTAAAATTGGTTTAAAACAACATTCGTTGTTAATATATAAATTATTTATAATTGTTTTCATAATTTTTAAACCAATAAATGTTTTTCCTGTACCTGGGGGCCCTTGTATAATAGTAAATTCTTGAGTTAGTGCTGCTTTGAATGCTTTGAATTGCATTTCATCAAGTTTTAGCTCTTCTTTAGTAGGCCATTGAAAATCATCCATTAAATTGAATTTCTGGAGATTATCAATTGAATAGAATGGATCAGGTAATGTGTCTATGTAATATGGATAATCTACTTTTTTAGAAGCTTCTATTATATATTTTTCCATTGGAAAATTATGAGCATTAATATTTTTAAGAGCTTCCATTGAGCATTTATATGGTTCAAAAAATACTTCACTCTCTACCATGGTAATAGATGTATTAAATAAAGGTTTTGCATCTTCTAATAATTCCACAATCAATTTTCCTTGCTTCAAAAGTTCAATCTTTCGCTCCAAAACAATACCCAAAAAAAAAGTTTTAAAATTATCAACAGAAAAAAGCAATAAAGAACCATACATGAAACGTTTTGCCATTTCCCAGTTAATTTTTAATTTTTTTTTTATGTCAAAGTTTATTATATAACCATATTTATCACGAACAAATTCACCTTTTATTTCAAATTCAACATCTCGATAAATACGAATATTATTTATTTTTCGGTGATGTTGATTATGTATTGATTCTTTAAAAAACTGTATTCCTTCTCGTAATGGAGAAATAAAATCTTCACGTAAAAGACGAAATTGAACATCCAAATAGTGCTCTATGTTTTGATAAGCTCCTTTTAAAATATTAGGTCGTAAAAATGGTTTGCCATATTCAAAATCAAATGAGGTTGGATATACTGTAAGTATTCTAAAATTTTCAGGCGGAGGCATAATTTGAACTATATTTTCAATCGTACATTTTTCTTTTAATTTTAATTCATCAGTCACTATAGTTTCTTTCAGTTTTTCTAGCAAATTATTCATCTCAACGATTGTAGTTTCATTTATTTTAATATGATTAGAATAAGTTTTAATACCAGTTAAAGCAATATTACTACTAACTATAATCTCCTTCAATTTTTCTTCAGCTGTTTTTGGAAATAATGTAGTTATAGACTGAAAAACTACTAAGCAATCTTCATAAAATGTATTCATTTTATCACAACGATTTTTATTTTTTTCTGTAGGTGTACTCAATATATAGGATTTTATATGATTAAAAAATTCATTACACGTTAATTCTGTTAGTAAAAAAATTTTATTTTGTATAAATTCTGAAGAACAAATCTTAGCTGAAACTTTCATAAGCAAAAATATCCAATCTGGTTCTTTATTTTGTTTGAATAAATCCATGAATCCATTAACTTTATCAGACATCACAAATATAATTTTAGAAGGTTCTTCATCAGATAATTCTTCAAGTCGTTTAAATCCAAAAAATTTATTTTTAAAATTTTTTTTATTAGTGTTATTATCAAAGTCTTGTTTTTGTTCAAAATCATTTTTTCTCCCTCTTTCTCGTCTATTTTCATAATTTTGATTTTTTCTCCTATGTTCTTGTCTATTATCTGAATTTTGTTTTTTTTCCCTTTGTTCTTCTTTTGTATTAGAACCATTTGAACTGCTCAAATTTAATTGCTGATCGAGCAACTTAAAATCAAATTGAATGTTTTCTGCATTTAATGATGGATTTCTTCTGGATTTTCTAGTATGACGGTTTTGACCTTGATTTTTGGTGTGTCTTTTATTGAACATGATACTTCTTTAATCTATAACTAGTCACAGATTTACATTTATATTCTGTAATAGTATTAAATATATGCTGTAGTAAATTATGGTCTTTTATCATAATGTATAAGTATTAAACATAGAATTGTAACTTTTTTTACCTTATATTAATTTAACATTCAATTATTTATAATATTTGATAGTTAATTAGCATCTAGATTGGTTAAATGACAAATAATAAACATGGAAGTTGGTTAACAAAAACGACATAAAGCTGTGAAAAAAAAAAAGATTATATCAAAGAAAATATGCAACAGTATGGCAATAAAATTATAACCCATTTGGAGCTTATAGAGAAATTGGCTTACAAAAACTTATCAGTTTAATTAATGATTTTTTTGATTTTTTGTAAATGCATAATTCTATCATTTTTCATTAATATATTTACTAAATTTATACTGCATTGGTTAGGTTAATTAAAGTAGTCCTTGGTCAACTAATCCCACAAGCAAGTAGGCTCATTCGCAAATAAACTACACACGCAACTCGACCTAGAGTTACGTAATTCGGAAACATTGGTTTTTTTTATATAGCTATTTAAGTTATTTATATAATTTTTAGTATTATGTTAAATATTATATTAATTTTTAAAATGCGTAATTTTGTCTAAATCTGAATAAATTTTTGTAAAAATTAATTGATTGTATATTTTCAAGAATTTTTAACTTTTATGTAAATATCTACGAGGAACATTGATAATATTTTAAAACCTTAACTAAAATAATTAAAGATTTTATAAATTTACTTCCTCGGCTTTTAAGATTTATATTTTTTTATATTTTATTAAATAATAGTGTACAATTGAAACACAAATATAGATACTTATTATTAAATATTGAAATATCTAATTTTGTAACTAATAATTTTAATAATTTTGGCACAATTATGCCAATAAATTTATGTGCATTCCACTAAATGAAATTCAGTAATTAAAATGACTTTTTGTAGACTTCTGTAATTTTAAGTTCAAAAAAATAAAATAAAGTAAAAATTGTATCATGTAATACTAGCTGACGGTATCTAAATTGTAACATAAACTTTAGTGTAATATGCATAACCAAGATTGCGAGGTATCAAATTTATTGAAATCTAAGACAAGTTAAAATATATAATAAGTATATTTAAAAATATTCATATCAGATAGGTATGTTTTAGTTTGAATGTTTGAAATTTAAATTATCCATTTCTTTATTCATTATTTTATACAACTATTATGAATTATAGAAATATAATAATTTCTGTTATAAATTATGACAATATAAAAAAAATTTATGGAAAAAATAGGCAAAACTTATTTCATTACATCAATAATACAATGTATTCTTCATAACACAATTAACAATTATTTTTATTGGAGTTAAAAATGTCTATTGTAAGTCAGAAATGTTGAAGAACGGAAATAAATTAGTGTTGTTAAATTTGCCTACAAATTTATATGCATTTTTATTGAATCATATCAATATTAATAATAATTATTAATTAAAAATGAGATATTTATGAATTTTTTTTTTTTATGTTGCCTATGTCCAGGAATAAGCTTGAAAACCTAGTCGGACGCCTTTAGGCAGAATTTTTAGTTAAACACCCATAGGTTTTTGCCATGCCCAGTTGGGGGATGGCAGCCTCAACACCTAGACAGTTGCCTGCCCAGAGGGATGCTCAGCTACTTTGTCCCCCAAATGAATTATGATTACACTGTTTTTGTAATTGAACGAGTCTGGTTCAAATAAATATATCAATTAAGATAAATATCCAATGAGCAATGATAAGGAGATCTCTCGGGAGATCTTTAAACTCAAATACAAAAATGTATGAAATATATCTATTGTTTATAAATACACATATTATTAGGTAAACCTAATTAATTTTATTGAGGTCAGATAAAGTATAATACTATATATAATGATAGCTGAACACTTTTAGGCAATTAAAAATATAACAAAAAACAATATAGCTGATTATACTTTAGTATGTGCACAAATATTGTATATTGTAACATTGATAATGGTTATAACTTATAAGCATAAATACTGGTTCATGTTTATATAATGGTGTAAATTTTATATTTAAAACTATGAATTATAGATAATAATATATTCACTTTTCATCATATTAATATATAAAAACTAAAAAATTAATATTTATTAATTTTATGAACATGGGACAAAAGCACAACTGGCCACACTATGTTGAACAAAATAATTATGGATAGGAGATCAGATACAAACCAGTGATAAGCAAAACGTAACCAGGAATTCTGAAGTCATCAGTTAAGCAGCGCTCTGATCATAAATGGAGAATTTTGAACATCAAACAATGAATGTAGACGACTACTCGAGTGAAAATTATTGACATACTTTTTTTTTTTTTATTTATTTATTTAGCCATTAGTACAAAACTATTACGGCTCGATAATTAATGTACATAAACAAATTTAGACAATACAGATAATATACATGTGCATAATATGAACTATGCATTAGCATAGTAATATAGAGTGTATATATAGTTACATGCAGTGCTTGATTTGGGGGGGGGACATGGGGGACGGAGTCCCCCTTCTTTTTTAATTTTTTTTTAGCATACCCCTTCTATTTGCCCCCACGGTAATGTGACGATTAATTTTGTGTGGAACGCTCGTTTATAAAACATCCGATGAGTCTCCCTTCTATTTTTTTTCTAAATCAAGCACTGGTTATATGATATTATATAATTATATTATATGGATCAGATAATAATAATTAATTAATTTATAATATGGAAAGAAAAAATGAAGTGATGTACGAGTATGACGTGACACTGGTGTGACTAAGGTAAATTAATTTTGTTTAGAACATTGAAAAAAGGGATATAAGTAGATTAAATTGACGTACTTACACAGGAATCTTATCCCGATTATCATACTAAATAGTACTATTTATAACTTAATATCTATCACAAATTATATTCGTTAAAAGTACTTACTAAATTATATACAGAACGCAATAACGTTCCACAAGACAAAATAGGCGTTAAAAGTGTTAATATATAATACTAATGAAAATTTAATATACTGGTTGTCTAATATAAATAATTATCCGGCAATCATTTATACTCTGACTAAATAAATAATAATTTATTAATATAATAGCATGTGAACTTCGCAGAGTACGGACAGACGGACGAATTGCGTCGTAATTAATTACACAATACACTAAAGCGTAATACCACAGAATAAATGAAATTTCATCGTTGTAAATTGTAACGTTGTACACTATATAGAAATATGATAAGTATAAACTGTAGTACTATAGACAATAGACACTAGACAGTGTAAACACTAAACTGTAGTACACTTAAATTATCAAGTAAATTCGGTCGATAATACCGAAAAATCACTCGATTGTTTTTTTTTAACTCGATAGTCAAAACACCCAAAACTAGTCGGTAGCGCCCATCACTATTAATAATTATACTTTGTACACGTACACTTAGTTTCTGCGGACTATGGACTGCGAAGAGTGGTCTGTTGTCGCCGGTGTTGCCTAACTAGTAACAAAAAATAATACCGATAATGTTAATATCAACATCACTGGAAAGAATATTATATAATATATTATAACTTATAAGGTTTTTCATAACGTTTACAATTTTTATGTTCTACACTGAATACCAAATGTCTCTACCACTGTTCCGTGGCCTGTTCAATGTCTATATTACATAATACATATAATAATTATTGTATTAAGAACAAAGTGACAATATTGCCTGTCGAACGTCCGAACTCCAAATTTCGAGAGTCCGACTGCCCGAGCACGATTTGGATGTTGGATCGTCTATCGTCTGATGAGTGACGTGTTTGCAATGTTTCCTACTCCCTAAAATAATGATAAAATGATCCATAAAAAACGTCGAAATCCAAATCGAGCAATAATACTATTAATACAAAATTCAATTTGAATATCTTTAAAATCATCTTATTGTTTTATACGCCCATCGTTCATTTCTATACACATTAATTTAATACGGATAAACAAATTACGTCATTACAAAAATAAGTTAATGATGACATTAATTATTCAGTGATAGCGAAAATTTTTAGCTCATTAGCTGCATAATGAATAATGATATATTTATATTAAATGTTTTGTCAACAACTAATAGAAAGCAATCAATGGATCAATTTCCTAAAAACATTTCTTTCATTAGATATTTTTTAATTTTGGCTTTCGGTATAGATGACTAATTTATTATACTATTTTTTTCTAATAATGTTAAACCTTTGGATAACTATCTGTTATAAATTCATTTATATATAGGTCTGTTGTCGATGGGTAATATTGCTAATATTGTTAAATAAAAACTTGATAAATATTATGATATATTTTTACAATTAGGTAATTTTTACTTTATCATGTATTGGTGGTTTACGAATTGAATTGTTTATTTTTGAAATATTTATTTGTCATGTATTATACATGTATAATGAAAATATAAAGCAATTTTCTCTGTGTAATGATATTAATGATAATATCTATTTAAATTACATTTTATAATAATACAGTCAATATTAGGATTTAGAAGTATTAAATAGAATAAAATTATGGGCTTACTTTGTTTTATAAACAACACTCATATATTTTAGATCCTAATCGGAGCGATGAGTATATATTGTTGTTGTGTATGAGTACAAGACAATAAGTAGTCAAGAAAATAGTTCGATTTTAAACTTTGAAAATGTTTTTAGATAGCAAATTAGATCTATGTAGTTTGTGCAACAGAGAATTCAAAATTCAAAAGTTACTAGTATTTTTTAAAATATTGGAAAAAATAAACAACAAATTAAGGAAAAACTGAAATTTTTACGTAGACCCAATTTTCAACACAATAGCTATAAGCATTTCGCTCACACAATTATTATTTTTAGAACCACTGGTTTGTATTTCATTCGATTTTGACAATATTTTATAAATGCTTCATTGAGTTATTTATGAAAATGAATACGGAATAAAATTAAATATTATAAATAAACTATTTAAGTTATCAAGTCCAATATTGTCGTATAATATGTAATAATAGATATTATATTAGCGTCGTGCTCGCGCGTCACTGATCAGTGATCACCATACCATGTATTTTATAATAAATTATACTGTTTTTATTTTCGGTTTATTATCTTGTTATTTCATTATTATCTTATTATTTATTATATTTTTATTATTATGTTGTAGCAGTCCAATATTGACATTTTTCAGTACGCTAACGTTTCACTCACACATCTACAACGGTGTTATACATACAACGTTACCAACGACGGGTTAAAAATATTTTGACTCGTTTTAAGATACGTATTTATAAGTAATTTTAGATTTATTTTTATAAATGCAGATAAAAATGTATAAATGGGTAAAATACTAGAACATTTAATACGAGGTTCCTAATAAATTGTTCATTTCCCAATTAAAAAACATCGAAAAATACAAATTTTTTAGTTAGTAAGTCATAAACAATATTCTGTATGCATTTAAATTCGAAAAGATTTATTTACGCATTTTCCATATGAAACATAAAACATATTATACAAAATGATTATTTAGTTTTATTTTCCAAAAATGTTCCAAATTACCCTTCCTCCCACGAGATTTTTTTCTGTTTCCCATGTATGGTATTCTTTTATTGTCACCTTCCCGTGAAATATATTATTTAATATATCCGTCGAATACATGAGCAAACATTGTGTTTTAAATTTGGGAACATAATTTTTGAGCCCATCTAAGCCCTGCCTCAATTTGGGCGTATATTAATATATTATGATCAAATACTTAAATCATGATGAGAAACCGGCTTAAGACGGAGACAACACTTGACGTAGGCGTCCGATGTGAAGTGTTAACGTGTGCTTTTAATCCTAAAAATATTAATATTCTATGGGCTGTTGTTATACAGTAGGTAACCATTATGTGCGGTGCGATCGGTTTGCGCCGCTGCGACCGTACCGACATTCGACGGCAAACACGGCTGTCGACAGCGCGCACCCGACCATCCATACGGCCATGACAACTTTGAACTGTTTGAAGCTAAGCGGCAAAGGGTCACCGCCCCTGCGCGGTTTTACTTCGTACACCTGCTCGAACGTGGCAGGCGACATGCGGACCTCAGTCACCCGACTCAGCCAATAGTCGATTAGTCCGCTCTCGAATATCCGCTGGATGACCAGGTTCGCGGGTTTCGTGTACGGCGACCACTTGGCGAACCCGAACCCGATATAAAACTGATTCATGCACGTCCGGGCCGTCCGCAGGTTGTTCAGCATGGACACCGGAACATTTTCCGATTCCATAAAGTGTTTCTCGTACAGGCACTTTGTCAGAATTGCGTACTGGCCGCCTTCAAGTCGCTTGATCCGATCGTTCACGCCGCGTTCGGGTATGAACCGCTTGCTGAACTCCATGTGCGCCGGATTCTGCGTGCGTTTCATGCAAAATTGATGTTTTCGTTGTAATTATTACTTAATAATATTTAAATATCTATCCAATAAAGTGCAACATTATTATTATAGAAAAATGTAGAATAATATCATTTTAAAACGGCAGCTATATATGGCACACATTCCGGCAGGTTTTTAATGTACCTACGCGAAATCGGTCCACCCACTTTAGAGCAGTGACTCAAAGTTTTCAACAATATTTTCGAGTTGATCGTGAGAATTTTTAGATTTTGTGGGTTACAGACAATATAAAAATGGGTGGGTCAATTTCACATGACTGAAAGTTTCAGAAATTCAAAACGTTGTCTTCTACATGCAATTATTATAAATTATAATATTTGATTTTGAAAACTACAACTTATATTGAAATACAAATATTGTGAGAAAGTAACCTAGTCGCTACGCTAAATAATACGTGAATCAACTTCACGTACGTATTTTTCACCGTTTTCCGTCGGCTTGTATAATAAATATGACAATATTTTAATATTATGATTTATAAGTTTAGACTTAGGAACTTCTAGACTTTGGTATAAGTATGTTTACTATGGATAATTCAATGAATAGCAGTGCCATATATAACTATAAAAGACCTAAAACATTTTGAATAAATATATTATAATTGGAATTCAAATTCAAAAAGTTTAATTTTGAATATTAATGCCTCGTTTAACTTATAATATAAGCGTTTTTTCTTTATTTTACTCAGGAAAAAAACTATTTATAAAAATGTAATTGTAAAATTAAAATTCCTATATTTCACCAACATTGTGTTTTATAGTTTCCAAATCATAAGCTCTGGACTCCTCGCCAAAATACAATATCTATTGAATCATAATTTTGTTTTTATTAAATCATTGGATGACATTGACATAGAACTTTATTGTATTCCATATTATCAAATTTAATATAATTGACCCATTTAGCCCTATTCTACATGACATTTGATATAATTTCTTTATATAAGCTAAGCTTAGTTTCATATAAATTTAAGCTTCAGAAAAAAATCAAGTAATAACTTATAATTTGTAAGTAAAAAGTACACTGTATACGTACATTATTCATATTATGATCATATTTTTATAATATTAATGAAAAAATAAGGTATATTATTTAAAAATAATCAAATACTTATCACAATTATTTTAACTGTACAAATAATTAATAAATATATTTTCAATTTTCAATTTCTTAATGCAAAATAATCACAGTTCCAAAGTATAACAAAAATAAATAAATATGCTATTTGGTCAAAAAAGTTTTATTTTCAATAACTTTTTTTTTAGTGAACTTAATAGCCACTTAAATGTACTTTTTTATACTTGGTATCTATATTTTTATTGCATATTTGGCATAAGCGTGCGCAGACATTATTGGCAGGGTAGTCATACATGATACATTACACATTGACATTTAACATGAACAAAAAATTTTTAATAGGGTAACTTTATTTAACTGCATTTACCATAATAAAAAAATATTTTATAAGTAATAATTAAATGTAGTATACCTAAAAAAAAATTTTTTGAGATTAAAATCACAATTCTAAATTAACATACACCTTATTAAATAATTTACAAATTAAATTCTTTATAATATGTAGGTATCGTTTTTTCGAGCAATAATTCGTTAGTCAGTAGTCACATTCGGTAAAAACACGAATACTTTATCATAATATTAATATCATAAACGAATATCGATATTATTCAATGGTCTACCACGGAGCCATAGAACCTAAAATAGATTACTCCATGACTAATTATAAATATGTATATATTTAGCCATGGATTACTCAATGTTGTAAACTGAAATCAACCAGTCTGGTTTGCGATAAGATCATAGAGTATTACCACAGACTATACGTCAAATCTCGATACAATAGATATATAATACAATATATAATACAACCGTGGATACAGATGTAACTTTTTAACGTATCGTAAACTTCTTGAACACTCGAGCCCGTTTCCGGAACGTATCGATACGTATCGTTTTCTTCCTTGAAAATCTTGTATATGAAAACATAGTCTGTGGTATTACTCTATGGATAGAATTCAATGTTTGAACAGCGATAACCATGATACAATAAATTGATAAAATAAAATTATGATATATTTATTTTATCATGGCAGTTACTAACGACGATATATTTTTTTTAATTTTTCCAGTATTCTTATTTCTAACATTTTACCGTTTACGGACATACTGAAATGGTTAAACATAATATTAAGTTGAGGAGGGGGAGTTGTTCGCAGAGTAGTCAAGTGCCTACCCTGACTACCCCGTGTGCACGCTTATGATATTTGGTCATTCTTTGATGCTTAACAATTCGTGTTTTTAGAGATTTAAGTCCCTAGGCCCAAATTTATGACATAGTTTTATAACACATATAGAACGCAAATTTTCGTTTGGTGGAATACATTTAGTTTTGTTATTAGTTTTATAATTATAATAAATCGAATATGCATATCGTATATTGTATTAGATTATTTATTATATAAGATATAATTTAATAAGAACATTATTATTTTTTACAAATCGGAATAACTTTGATTTTTTTATATTTTAATTTTGAAGTGAGTTAAAGTTATGTAAAATATTAATTAAAACTTACTACACTTTATTGTTACCTAACTAATATGTCAGACAACACTTTTAGATTTTTCACAGGGTATGCAGCCTAAATAATATTAATAATTTATAAATTTACCAGTGCTGATATCAAATTTAAAAGTAAGGTCATATTATTATCTCACTTATAATTTTATATATTTGTATTTTAAAGCTAGTTATAAGTTAAAAATATTATAGTTTTAAGCAGGGCCGACGTTACAAATTGCGGGTCCTAAAAGTAAAATAATTTAAATAAAAATTTAATATAATATACTCTTTACTTTTTAGCTTAAATAAATTAAATTAATTTATACAATAATGCATTATTTTAGAAGAATTAAAAGAGCACAAGGAATGATATATCGACCTCAAAGTTATCTTATCTTATCGACAATATTCGACATAGTCTACGCGTCTAATAGTTTATACTCTTTAGTTAATCATTCTACAATTATTGATACCACGAAAATGTCCATAATTATTTATTGTAAACGATGCTATCAACCATAATATCATTATAAATGTTTTATAATTTATTTATTTTAAGATGTCATTATGTAAATAACCAGTATTAATAAAAATACAATACATTAGTACTGTTCTCTAGAATATTACAAAATTATGATATTTAGTTACTAATGATTTGTTTTTCTTGAGTGAGCTCCGTTTCCGCGAGGCTCATGTACAGGTGCACCGGTTGCACTACCATTGTGTCGGCTCTGGTTTTAAGCTTATTTTCTTATTTTTATAGTTAATTCATATCATAATAAATAAAGTGATGGTACTATACAAGTTTAAATTATCAGCTATTTTCATTCAAACTATTTATTTTTTTGTTCTTAATGTTTGGTTAGCTGTTTACATTTTAAGAGGACGAATACAAATATTTTATAATTTTTAAATTTTAAAATACAATATTGTTTCCTATAAAAATGATTAAAAATAAAATACGTATTTTAATATAAGTATTACGTAAAACTGATTCTACATGAAGACAATCCTATTAAAATAATACAGTTGTTGTTTTTAAAAACAATTTATATAATAATTACGTCTGCGATAAGAACATTATTTATTTTTTTTATTATTTTATAATATTGTGTGGAGTCGGCAGTCTGTATAATATTTGTAATGGGTATGTTTTCCCACAGTAATGAATCTGCTGATAAAGTTATTTTTATCAAACAATCGAACTGGCTTTACTGAGAAGTTTGTTGTTACTTGTTAGTCTATTTTAAACATATCAAGCATTATTCCAGTATATATTTTAAGAAGATATTTATTTCACACAGCATTCAGAGCATTTTTCTTTAGGAATATAAAATATTATTTTAAGTGATTTTAAAATAAAATATAGGTAATAGTATTAAATTAAACTTACGTATCTATAAATAATAAAAACTAAAAATAATTTTTTTATACATTGGATTTATTTTACCATACGTCTGGATAACATAATTATGATTTTTTAAATAAAAAAATATTACATAATATTATAACTAATTTATATATATTATTTTTATTTTGAGCTCATTTCATTTTAAATGTTAATTGTTATCTTAAGTAATATATTGCATAATGCATTGAGATGTTTTATGTTACTTTAATAGTAACTTAATAAACCTTTCTCGAGTAATATAAAAAAGAAAATGGTAAAAATATGTATATCTTTTGTGCGCAATGTTGCAAAATTTGCAACAAACTAAAAGTTAGTTTACTACAAAAAAACTATAAGTCTTATATTTTTTTAAACTATTTTTCCCGAATTTTACTACATTCAATTAGTTGTCATAATTATTTTAATTCTAAAAATAATATCGCGCATTGGAGTGTTAACACATTGGAGACTATCTACTTTTATTTTGTTATTGCGTTTGAGACGAGCGCAGTTTCTAACGCGGTACTAGCTTTTGCACAGCTAAAAGGACAAGCACCGTGTTTAGAACGGTGTGTACAAAAAATCGTTTAAGAATATCAATATTTTATTTATATTGAATCGATATTAAATACCGATACTTTTTCGATTATTTTATTTTATTGTCCTATACTCCAATAAGCTATAATGAACATGTTGTCACATGCATGCTTACGCTGCCAATTGTACAATATTCTGTCAATTATAAAATTATAAATATAACGTGTTGTATACACAAAGAAAACACGAAATAAAATTTAATAATTATATATTATACTATTTTTATATTAGTCTTATGAGTTATGACATATGCCTAGATGTATTTATAATGAAAATAGCAATATAAATCATGATATCTCGGACAACTTTTTGTTTTGTTTGCTTAAGGCAAAAAAATAAAAACTGTTGAAATAACGCGTATATTACTATTATTGGTTTTTACAGTATGATATTTATTCTTAGACTTATTTTAAGATCTACACTCGGAGAATTCGACTAAAAAAAAAAAAAAACAATTTAATCAGATTATTCAATAACGAGTAAACAACTAGAGAAAATAAAATAAAATAACCCATCTTTAAAAGAAATAATTGACCGGAAATGACCGTCTGGTATAATATATTTTATACACATACCACGTAAATGTGGCGCTTGTCTCCAATATGTTAACATCAGTATTTAAAAATAATTATTTACGTACTTTGGATTATTGATTAGTGATTAGTGATTATCTATTATTTTATTTCAGGTAGGTTTATATGCACGCGTGTACGATGTATCTATCAGGTAAATATTATTCTCTCCAAATGGACAGTGAACATTTTTTTTTTTGAAAAACCACAAACTTTCTGTAAAACATAAACTGAATATTCTGTAAATTGGACACTTTAGGAAAGTGAGCAATTTGAATAGTTAATAGTTTAAAATGTTTAAATAATGTTGAATTAAAATATCGATAATAATAATATAATATAATATAGGTACAATATACACATTATATAATTTTTAATACACCTAAGGCCATAGTAATAAAGGAGAGCAAAGTTGGAAAGTCCTTGATGAACTTACCCTATTTGCCAGTATCTAATTAATGAAATATTATTTTTTTTCAAAACCACGATTTTTGTAAAAATTTTACACGTTGACAATAAATAAACCAGTTAGTAACACGGCAATCTTATGTTTTAATTTACGCTTTAAGAAAAAAAAAAACCGTATATTTCATTAGTTTATGATCTTTCAATTACATGTATGCTAAATCGTTTAAAATTAATATCGAAAATATCTATAATTTTATCCCAAGACACAATCATAATATAAATAACATTATAAACTTACCTGCATTTTCAATATATACTTATAAGGGGGAGGATACGTAAGGCCCCAATGGTAATTCGCTTTCACCATATCTTCAACTTCTAAAACAATATCTGTATATTCAGACGATGTAATGAATGAATAAAGAATGCTGGAAAATGAAGTAGACATGACGAATATAAATATGCACCACCAATTGATCAAATGTCTAACAGGTCCCATTCGATAAGTACGTGGATTGTTCGTCAATAACATCATTCCGATAATCCAAAAGATGGTCGCTGATAACGAAGTAAATACTAAAAAAATACAAGTAGGTACGTTTTGTAAACATTATATATTTATAGGTACGTTTTTAGAACACTAATAAGTAATAAGTAATAATAGTACATAAATTAAGTTGAATTCAATATTCATAAAGCCCGTATCAATAAAATTTATTTACGTAACAAAAATATATATTTAACCCTAAACAGAAAATCCATATCCATATTCCATCTTATAAATACCAGATATAACTGACACATGTGCAATTAGTTAATAATAAATACGTATTAGATACTTTTATGCATTTAAAAATGTATTGATGATTTTAAATTAGAAACAACAAATAGTTAATTATCAATTATAGGTACTTTGCTTTTACTACACAATACGTCATTACATATTATTAAATAAATATAACTATATATATATATATATTTACTAAACTTTTATTATTGTTTTAACTTAATAACAAATAAAACCAGATACGTTATTAATACAGTTTAATACAATTTATTTTTTATATTTTTTTTTAATCTATAATTTTATTAATATATTTTTTTTTAATAATGAAAAAATTAGTGATTTTTATTTTAAATTAGTATTCTAAAAATACTAATTCTAATTTTAATTACTATTTCTAATTCTAATTCTATTTATATTTATAATTTGCACATCAAAATTTTTACAAATTTTTGGTTTTTCAAAACCAATTTATTTTATATCATTTTTCTCACAAAATTTGAGTCTTATAACAGATTTTTTTTTAAAAATATAGAGATACGTCCAGACCGTTTCAGTCAATTTTTAGTCTAAGAAGTGACTGAATTTTATATCTGTGAGTCTTATAAGTGACGTCTATTGTATATTATATATTTAATATTTTAGAGTAATTGTATATAGTTATAAAGTCTGTAACATAAAGATAAAACTATATAATTTGACGTTAATACCAACCGTTGATTTTTTCATAGCCAATTTTTTTTTGAACGCAAGCCAATATCCATACTGTAAACGTTGTCAATGTCGCAGAAAATAAAACTAATAACCACAAATTTAATGGAAATGGTTTGAACAGCAAGTCCCATTTTTCTCGCAACAGTTGGGGCTTGGGGACTAAAAATTTTAAACACGTTAATGTCCAAAATTTAGACATGTCAACAAACTTTGATTTTATATGATCAATCCAAAGTGAACAAAATGATACATCAACTCTTTTAGTGTACAACCATTTGAGTGCTCCACCGGTTATTGTATTGTTTGACCACACAGTCCCCCATTTGTCTTTGTCGTCAGACGTGTATGTGTCCCATGTGATGTTTAATCTTGCAGCGATTTCTTTGAATATAATACTTTCAACGCCATACGATAAGCCTGTTTATAAATATTTTTAGCTTTTACTTAGATTCTGAGTCAATAGAGTCTATATTCTGAACTTTATAAATGGATACATAGTATTAGTATACTATCATATATATCTATAAAGCATAAGTTCAAAACGTGGAATTGGATTATGATTTCATATATTATGTTATCATTTATCAATATTTAAAAACTAGTATTTTCATTAATATCCGGTATAATGTGTTGTACAGTAAAGTTAGTCTGTTGTGGAACTTGTACGTGCTGATAAATTATAGTGCAGTGTAGGTGTTTCCATGTTTGTATATTTACTGTTAAAAATAAAATTTTTATTAAGTGAATTAATAATTTTTCATATTAGAACATAATATTCTTGTGTACCTATGTAATATGTGAAAAATAAAATTTTTTTTAAAGAAGTAAATAAATACATAAAATAATTAAAATATATGTGAATTTGAAAGACACTTGACACTTCAAAGTTACACCTTGGACGGCTCAATATATTATATAAGCTTAAAACAATTTAGCAACAAAACATTTTTATATTTTTTTCTTATTGTGTAAAATTATATTATCGTTTAATATGTAGCATAAGAAAAACTCTTATTAAACTATATAGTCTATAGTTAAATATTTTATAACAAAAATAACTTTAAAAACATTTGAATTTTTGCCATATTATATGAACTAGGTGTATACTATACATAGTAATTGGTATAAATATTAAGTTAGACGTGATCTGTTTAAGGTTTAACATACTCACTTAATTTTCCCGTTCCATTTTCCTTTATCACACTACTAAAAAGTGAATTGTTGTAAGCCAATAACTTAATACGGATCTTATGAAAGTTTTTTACTTTTTTTTTTCCTTGCAAGTCCTAAAATTAATTATAAATATAATAAATAATTTATATACTAAGAAAAATATAATAGTCTAAAGAGATAGACTATAGTATACAGATTAAAAAAAAAAATAATACATTTTTTGGCGTCTTTTTTTTAGATCTAAACACAATATTATTATTACTGTAAGAAAAATATATGGATTTATTATACTATATTAAATTATTAAATAACATAATATTGCATATATTATGCAATATGCAGTAAAAATCGTAAAAAATGAAAACATGTTTGAAAATACATTTGCAAAAAGTAGTATTTTAAAACAAGTAAAAAAAAATGTACACATTAAATCGTTATTTTAGATAATAATTAAATACTATGAGTTTGAAACTATAATATCAATTTGATATCTTGAAATATTGTTATTAGATATTATTTCATTTTAATACAATTACACTTAATAGAGTGCAATAGTGAAAAAAAAATATGGTATAAAAACATGGTTTCGTACTATTATAAAAATTGTAGAGGAGAATTTTTTCTAGAGTTGTTAAAAGCCCGATTTTTGATATTTTTATATATTAGTTAAATAATTAAACGATAAAAAGTAAAAAAAAACTAGTTAATTTTCCATAAAATATTAGACGATATAGAAAAATTAGGCTTCTTACGAATCTAGCAAAAATTCTCCTCTACAATTTTTATAATCATTATTTTTACTTTAAAACCTTTCAATAATCCGTATTGCTTGAAGTATGAAACAATGTTTTTATGCCATATTTTTTTCACTATTGCGTCCTCTTAAGTATAATTGCATAAAAATAAAATAATATCTAGTAACAATAATTCGAGATATTAAATTGGTATTATAGTTTCAAACTTGTTGTATTGTATTTATAAAGTCATAAAGGAATGTATTTGTTAATGAGTAGGGTTGAGATTTTGATGCAAAGGCATCTTTTTTCTGGTGTTTTGAAACGTTGGTCGGTAAGTATAAAATGTGTTTTGAATGATACTGATTATTTTAAAGTAATTTTTTTGCATTTTTTGACAAAATTAACCTTAATTGCATTTTTAGTGTATTTTCTTAATTTTTAGAGCATTTTTTTATGAATATGAAATATTATTTATTTCATTACTGCAGTGTTTATTAGTCAATATATACTCCGCATACTCGTATAAAAATAATTATCAAATGATAAATAAATATTATTTAATCAATATATAATTACAATTTATACTCAATATATTTTAAAATAATTAATTAAATAGGTATTCCCGTTTAAATTTGATAATGATTTGCAATTCTGCAGGAGTTTATGATATGGTATTTAAGTAAGTAATTAATATACAGTGGGTTCCGCTTAATGTGATCACTTTGGTGCAGATCATTTTGATTCTATTAACCGGTTGATTCTATGGCTAAACTGCGGCAAAATTTACTTTTTTCAAAAAGTCGATTGTAAACTGCGGCAAAAAAAAAATTAAGATTATATAATCTGCCACAAAATCGATAAGATATATCATACAAACTGCGGCAATTTAATTAGATACCTATTGTATTATTATTTATTTATTTATTTTTGATTATACGATTTTTTAAAATAATTTTTAATATAATGATAATATTTTTTAATTTTAAAATTGGTTTTTTGATTATACAATCATTACGCAATCTAATTTTTAATAATAATATATTTTTCAATTTTAAAAATTGGTTTTTCTTTATTTTTACGCCTAATACTCTTAAGAGATACTAATAACTGTCATAACACGTAATACCTACGTATTATACCTAATTAAACAATAAACGTGTATAAGTATATAAAATAAATTGCCGCAGTTTGTATGATGTATCTTATCGGTTTTGTCGCAGATTGTATAATCTTAATTATTTTTTTGTTGCAGTTTACATATCGACTTTTAGAAAAAGGTAAATTTTGACGCAGTTTACTATCTCCCGATTCTATAAAACATTTACAACATTTTTTTCATAATTCAATCTTTTAAGACAATTACATTTTTATTTAAATTAACATACATATTTAATAATTTATAAGACATAAAATTATTTATTTTTACATTTTTTTTTATTTAATGGTTCTATATTTAGGTATATGCTTAAATTAAAATTAAAATTAAATAAATACATTTAAAACAAATTAAAGAAGCTATCTATTTTTGATTGTACTTGAGAGTCTACCAATTTCATTTCCATATTAGACTGAAATTAAATTAACTGATAAGTTAAATAAAAAAATGGGTTTTATAAATTAATCAGTTTGAAATACCATAAAAACGATAAGATTGTTCATAAAAGTGATTCAATTATCCGGTACCTAGTGATTCTAATAAAAGGTCAATTTAACATAAGTAACATACAATTTGGTTTGAGATTTTCATTTTTGATTCTAATAAACGGTTGATTCTATAAACCAGTGATTGAATGTAGCTTAATGTAAGCGGAACTCACTGTATTATGTTTTGAACTTTAATAACTAATAAAAAATACATAATAACTTCACAGTGAACTATGTTTTTAAATTTTTAGTTAATAAATTACTTAATGTATATATCAGGATAATTTTCAAGGTTTCGTAATTACGATACATTTTGTAAAAAAGTTTACTATGAATAGGAACTTATTAAAAAAATTGTGATTATGTATTTTTGACAGCTGTAAGAAAATCTTCGATAAATTTTATATTGTAAAGGTTTATAATTATAAACGAAAATGTTATTATACGAGTATCTCTATAGAATGAAAATATTCAGATAACTTTAAATAGCACAAAAGAGCTAAAATATTTTGAAAATTAAATAATATTTAGTAAATGATAACTCGAATATTTTGTATAAAATAAAAGTTTCTATCATTAATTATTTTTGCATTATGTCAAAACACAAAATTGCTTTACCAAAAGTAGATTTTGCGTAAACATTCCCGTTTTTGTACTTTTAGTTTTCATAAATATTTTAAAATGTACATTTCTCTATAGAATTTTTAATTTTAATCTCTTATAGTATTAACTACATTTACATCTGATTTACTGCCTAAAAAACAACCATTGAAATCTAATATTGAACCGTTTACGATTAATACTTAGTTCAGAATCTATAAAATAAATTATTATGCTAACTTATTCGTTACTTCACTAAGAGTAGGTAGGTCCTTACTTCTTTGTAATAATTTATTTGAATAAAACCTATTAATATTTAAATCTTATTAATATTTTGACAAGAGAAGGTACCATTGATGTTACTATTCTATGCACACCTGGTATATTACAGTTTTATACCTAATGTATATTATATATAATATAAATACTAAATAGTAAAGTTACTTCAAATATTTATTATTATACTTAATACTAAGTACTTACATGTCTAAACCATTGGTCATGTTCCTTGGCAATAGGAACAAATTTTTTGAAGTATATGCTCATTTGATACACTGTTTCTTTTTGTGGATGTACATTTATAAGTATAACATCTTTGTAATTGAAGTATGAAGGTGAATACTGAAACATAATGTAAGTATACAACTTCATCAGATATTGAGTTATTTTCGTAATAATATAAACAGCAATGTAAGTTTTAAGGCGGATTTTTTTTGTTGAATTGCATGTTTTACATTGAATTCGAAATAAATTAACGTAGGCAAATATTAATGTGTATGATAATTATTAACTCAATATTAATATAAATATCACTAATATTGATCACTATACATGCTTAATATATATAACATTTAAATATATTATATTTACGATTTTACTCCAACTATTAATATTTCAAAATAAGTACTAATTTATATTATCCGTTGAATATTATGACTAGTAAAATCTTTATAGTTTATAGAAAAACGTAAAAGTAAGCATATCTAAATTATAAATTATTGAATTCTTGCTTCTAGTAATAATAAGCAATTCATAAAACAAACTGAATATTAATGAATTTAATCATTAATAAATACATAAATATTAAATACAATTAGTCTAGTACCTATGTAATTTTTTTATATGTGTACAATTGTAAAATGTAATTCTTATTTTGTAAGACGACCACAACTTTCTTTCAGTCGCGTCACTTCTAAAATACTCGAAATACTTATCGATTACTTAGTCGATGGCCTACTACCATGTAGGCAGAATAAAACAAAATTAGTCTAGCTACAAAGCATATTGTACCGAACTCCAGTAGATGATAAATAATATGAAATTAATAATTATTATGAATAGAAACCGACGAGTTAGTATTATATATTTTTTGAATGTGTTTTCCGTATCCAACCTATACATAATAATATATACTTAGTATTAATTATTATTACCATAATATATTAAACAATTATACTAATATGAATATAATTGGTACCTACTACTTAATATAAAAATAATATTTATACAATACTTAATACTTATATTATAAATGAAGTTTTTTTTCTAAAAAATAATATTCATGTAAATATTTACAGGTTTTTAATTGTAATAAGTAATAACCATTTTATCTATCAAAGAGTATAATATAACAATTGATTAATTATTTTGATCTTAAACTAGTTAATAATTAATATATTAATTTTACAATAAAGTAGGATTTTTTTTTTTGTGTAGGTATGTATATGTTACGGTGAATGATGTAAACGTGGTAAAAGACGTCATTCCCGGTAAATGACATCATTTACCTAAAATTTGGTAAACGTTGTAAATGCAGACATTCCCCGGTAATTGTCGTCAATTACCAGTTTAATTGGAGAATGATGTTTAATACTTTTTTGTCGATGTGAACGATCAGTGATAAGCGTGTAGGTACCGAGTAATATTCATTAGTTAAAAATATCATGCAGAAGTAGATAGATAAACGAAAATCCCAACTAGCAATAACGTCGATAACCCGAGTAATAATATGAGATAATCTTTTAGTTCAGGGGTCTCCAACCTTTTTTTACGGCAGGCCAAATTTGATATACGCTTTGGCATCGCGGCCAACATTTTTAGAAATGTGTTGTCTAAAAAAAAAAAAAAATGTTGTCTATCTAGAATTCTAGGAATATCTGATAGGTTATGAAATTAAGAAATAAATAAGAATAGATGAGATTTATTTAAAAAAATGTATGTTTATTTATATAATTTTTTAATTTATTAATCAATTTAATAAAAAATAAATTAAAAACAATGAAAATTAATATATTATTTTCAAAACATTAATTAGCTTGGCGGGCCAGTGCAAAAAGCTTGGCGGGCCAGATCCGGCCCGCGGGCCGTAGGTTGGAGACCTCTGTTTTAGTTTATTAGGTAGTATCGATGGGCATATTATAACAAATTGTATTTACTACGAATGTGTGTTTTATAATATTATTTGTAAAAATTTGTGTACTAGTTGTGGTACTAAAAAATGTGCTTCAATGCAGCGGAAATGTTGTGCAGTTTAAAATATCATGGTAACCAAAATTATACAAATAAATAATTTGTAATATGCACGTATTTTATTATTTTTAGTTAACATATTATCCCATTAAAATAAATACCTAAAATAAAAAAATGAAACATCCACCAACAATAAATCATTATTATAAATAGTACCTATACTAAAAAAATTAGTGTATTATTTGAGATTTATCATAATTTACCAATAGTTTTGGTTAATGACATCAATGACCGGTGAAAGATGTATATTTGAATTTAAAATCTGGTTTTTTACATCATTTACCTACATAATTGAATCATTTTGGTAAAAGACGTCATTCACTGGAGAATGACGACATTCACCGTAACATATACACAATAAGTAATTGAAAAATTCTTTAATACAGGATCCCACATAAGTTGTTCTTAATTCTTATGTCTTTTGTTGTTTTACATCTGTATAATATTATCAAAAATGCATAGGCACACTTTTAATTTATATGCATTTAAAGTTCAAATTTTTACAAAATTTGTCTAAATTACGGAAATTATAAAGTAACAAGTATTTTGTAATAAAATATGTAAAAAAAACCTTTAATTATTATAGCTACAATTTTAAATTTAATACAATTTTCCTCGTAAGTAGTTCATACTGGAAGTAAAAACCTTAAATTATATTATATAATCACAAATATTTTTTAAAGATAATTGAAGTTCAAATTTTGACAAAATTACATATTTTAATAATGAATAACGATGTTAATCATTTTGTTACAATTTAAAAACATTATTTGTTAAGATTTAAAATTTTTATTTATATTTTGAATTTAACTATATGTACAACGATATTTTCAAAATATTTAAATCAATTTTAAAATATTATCTATTAATAATGTGAACCTATTTATATTATTTTACGGTATAAATACCGTAAAATATTTTTGGTATAAATATTTATTTTATACTAATTAAATATTAATGGTAAAATAAACTAATTTAATAATTTTATCTAAAAACATATCGTAAAATATACTAAGTGATATAGGTTGAAAGACTGTCTTCGTTCAGAATCGTTTTTCTTAAATCGAAAATGATACCATTGAATTCAAATTTAACACATTCATTACGGTAACCCACCTTTTTTATTCATTTTGAATTTCATAATGATTAATACATTTCAAACTCCATTAGAAAATCAAATAGATCTATGCCCTATTGTATTTGTGTATATAATTGCCCTATTATATACACAAATTTTAAAATTAAAATAAATTGAAATTTAATATTTCTGGCCTATACTTTTTAAATATAAATTAATGAAAATCGATTTTCAGTGTTTGTATAGAAACCAAAACATTTTAATAATATGTTCATATTATGCATAAAATAGAAATATTGCACATAATAATTTATAAAAAAATATTTGTTTTACATTTTTAGTGTTAGTTGACCTAATGTTACCTAATGTACCACCATTTAGAAAAGATAATTCTAATAATTTTAGTACTGAATTTGATCTAAAGAAAAAAATTGGTGAAGGATCGTTTTCCGATGTGTGGTTATGTGTGCAACGTAACAGCGGACGAGAATATGCAGCAAAAATATTGAAAAAGAATTATGGACATAAAGTAGACGCTGAAATATGGAATACCATCTCCGAAGTAAATGTATTAAGCTCATTGAGAAAACATCCATTTTTACTTATGCTAGAAGATGCATACCACGAAAAAGAAACAGGAAAAATTATATTAGTGTCAGAATTAATGAAAAAATCATTATACGATATCATAGAAAACAGAGAATGTCCTCTATCAGATTATAGAATTAAAACTTATATGTATCAAATGTTGGAAGGTATAATTTTAACAAATTATTATACAGTGGAGCGTCGATTATCCGCACTAATTAGGACCGAAGGGGGTGCGAATAATCGATTTGTGTGGATAATCAAACAACCAATGAAAATGTTAATATAAAGTTAAAAACTAATTTATTAGATATAATACTAAATATAATATTCATACATAATATAAAAAATATAATAAAAATATAATGTATTTATTTGAAATAATAATCAATTTTTTTTTCACTTCCGATGAACTTCTTTTATTATAAATAAATTATAAAATTTATAAATAATCTCGCATTTCATAATATAACATTAAATATATATATATATTTATATATAACATTATAGTACACGATAAAACATAACAAATGATAAAACTAAATTAAATTAAACTAAAAATAAATTTGTACTCAAAAATTTTGTAGTACGGATAATTGACGCTCCACAGTAATAATAATAATTATTAATTAGAATGCTTTTTAAAGGTTTAAGATATTTGCACGAGAATGGCTTTATCCATAGGGATGTCAAGCCAGAAAACATTTTGCTGAGATCGCGGGACAAGCTATTGAAAATTGGCGATTTTGGAACCACGTGTCATTACACTGATGGCCATCCGTACACAGAGTACGTGGCAACTAGATGGTACCGCTCACCAGAATGTTTGTTAACACGAGGTTGGTACAATTCAAAGATGGATATTTGGGCTACGGGATGTGTACTTTATGAAATAGCCACCGGCCATCCGTTATTCGATGGTCGAGACGAAAACGATCAGATGGAAAAGATTGACTGTGTATTAGGCAGTCCAGACCAAAGATTAATTAATAAATTCAAGAAACATAAATCTGACGTGTTCGTTAAACGGTACAAGAATAAACGAAATGAGAGAATCACCGGAGTTGGGTTGCATTTGGTGTACCAACCATACCGGCCTGCATATGAATTAATTAAAGATATGATAGTTTACGATCCATCCAAGAGGTATTCCGCAGATCGATTATTACGAAAGGCATATTTTTATGAGATCAGAAATACTAGGTATGAATATAAAATGAGAGAATTTGAAAAATCCCTAAGAAATAAAACAATAAACAGCTTATCCAAGAACGAACAAACAGTAAGTTATAGTCAGTGTTTTATAGTATAAATGTAGACAAGTCATCAATACATCAAGTAATTGTTTTATTAGGTAATACTGACTTTTTCAAATATTGAAATTGTATTATAAAATTTAACCTTTTTTTGGATAATAAATTTTATTTTATAATATCATTACATAAACCGTAATTTTAAACATTAATATTAGGTAAAATAATTATGTTAATATGTTGTGATGCTGAATTAAAAATATAATATACTAATTATATAAAAACACTGTTATATTCGTAAGTTAAAATTTACATTGTATCATTGTAGTTACTTAAGAACTGATAAGATTGATAAGGATAACCACCCCCATCTCATTTTACAAATATCAGTAAAACCTTAATTGACTAAATATTGTGTTAACCATAAACAATAACTCATTTAAAATAAAATATTAATAATATTAATTTTTTATATTTTAAACTTCCCTAATTTAGTTGAACACAATAATTAACAGACAGTCTTCGTTAATTAAAAAACAAGGTCCTGGCGGAGATCGTCTACAAAATGTGCAGACACGTCCGGAAAATATTGAAACATTTGATAGATTATCTGATATTATTCAGAAAATAGAACAACCTAAATTGGATAAAAATAATTCAAATTCGCATAAAATATATTCAAACATTAACATAAAAAGTACTACAATTCCAAAACCAGAAAATATCCACCAAAAAAATCGAAAACAAAAGCCATCAAATAAATGTTCAAAGGATAATATAAAAGATATTCCTCCAGTAAAACAAATGTTAACAACCTCAGTATCGGCTTTAAACAAAGGCTCAGTAATAAAAAAGGTTAGAAATAAATTTGTCAATCGTCCACCGTTCAAATGATAAAATTACATGTTTTTTCGAAACAAAATTTTTTAAACACAATTTTAATAACACATCAACTGTTATAAATTGTAAATAAAAAAAAATAATGACATCTAACGTAACATTTGTTGCGTTTCCTATCTACCAGTTATCGTTAAAATCTAATTTCTATATTGTAAACAATATTTTATAACACGCACAATTGGTATAGGTAACAAATTTGAAGAGAACCTATTGTAAATAAAAATTTAAATAATATATAAATGTGTTAAATCATTGTTTTACCCTGAATCCTGATGAATGACTATATTATAAAATAATACTCTACAAAGGGGCATCATTCATTTGGGTGAATGAACCAAAATTTACTTAAATAGAGAATTGTGTTATTTGGATAAAAAAGTAACCTATCGTTTGGGCAAAATTTATTAATTAATGAATAATATACATAGTTAGAAAAAAATGCATGTGTCAGGTGTGTGAGTTATGAACTTGTGAATGAATATACCTAACTATTCAATCGAAATGTACGTTGCGAATGAAGTAACACATCTATATAACAACTTTTATAATATTTACTTCATATTTTTAACCAATTAACCATACCGGTTAACTGAAAGTATTAAGTCTCTAATATGGTAAAGAAAATGTATAAGTTCATAAAATTTTCACCTAAATTATATATACATAATAAATATATATAAGCTCACTCAAATGAAAGTCGCCCCTACAGAGTCCAACGTTAAATTAAGACAATATATGCAAAATATAAATTCAATAGATAAAAATATTTAATTAATATTATGATCTAAATATTTATAACTTATAAGCTATAAGCATGTAACTGTTATTAAAATATAAGTAATAACAGTTACAAATTAAAATATTATACATTTTACTCATTTTTAAAAGACTTTTTACAAAATTATAGCTTATGTAGGTATATTAAATAATTTTAGTAATTTATAATTATTATTAAAATCAAACTTGAAAATGTTTTATTGTATGAACATCGAAACATGAATGCTAAATTCTAGATACTATATTATATTATGTACCTACTACTATAATAATGCGTAGAATTTTTGCTGTCTCTGTCTGAATGTAAAAATATTTACTTGTAGTACTTTCCTATAGGCTATAATTATAGTATTAATACTCGGGTGATTTATTATCTATTTTAAAAATAATAATATTTTTTGTGTTCTCCAAACATTTTTTAATATATTATTTTTAGTGTTAGTTATGAAGATTTAAGTATTTTATGGTATATTTTTTTAAGACTAAAGTTATCGACGATAACTTTTCGTATCACCAGCAGTTTGCCGAAAGTCTCTAGTTAATTGCAAAAATGTTTGCTCATTTCATGAAAAATTTGTAAAAAATGCTCTAAAAACTAATAAAATGCACTATAATTGTCAAAAAGTGCCTTAAAAATGCATTTAAGGTTAATTTTGTCAAAAAATAAAAAAAAAATAAATACTTTAAAATAATCAGTATCATCTAGAGCACATTTTTTACATTTCAAAACACCAGAAAAAAAACCTTTGCATCAAAATCCAGCCCTAATGATAGCTATTATAAGATAACTTAAGAGAACACTACATCCGCATGTGTTGCTTTATCTTATAGTCGTATAAAATGACAAATTGAATATATTTTTAAAATTTGAATGAATTGATTTATTTTATAATTGATTTTATCTAGGGCAAATATGAAGCTTTTATATTTTGATTTTGTAACAAGTTATGTTCATATTTTAAAATCGTACATGTATTGTAAATTTTAAAAATCTCATAATTTGCTTTGTAATTAAAACATCAATAAAATCTTTCAATATGCTTTAGATAATAATCTTACCTTCAAAATAGATCAATTCACTTTAAATTTAAAAATAATAAAGTAAAATAAATTATTTTGAACATAAAATTTGTTGTAGGTATTGTACGTAAGTAGGTACGTTTATAATACGAAAACAACATATGAAGACGGTGTCCTCTTATAATTATTAACTATGTACTTTATATGTTTAATCGTATCTATAGTTTTATAGGTTATTATTGTATTTGTGAAAGATTCACGTTTTCGCACATTTACTTATATAATACTTATTTGCACACATTTTTATAATTCGTTTGTGTACAGATTATATGTACACAATAAAGTCTATAGGTATCTAGATACATTCTCAGTATTAAAATGCCTATGGAAAGCTTTAGCTCTATTCGTTGTACTTGATTGTTAGTCATTCAGTTTTACAGTTTACAATAATGGGTTGTAGTTTGAATTAGGTATAATGTATGGTTATATTTAGAACACGAATTTTTATGCACAAAAAAGTATCAGAATATGCATTAAAAATCATAAATTAAACAAATTATAATAATTAATCACTAAAATATTTAATGAAAAATGTTCACTTTAATTTGTAACACATTTCAAATTTTGTAAAAATATGTAATAACTATTGAATATACAAAAATATGCAAAAAAAAATTTACCATTAGATTCAAAATATTATAATTTGTGAAGATAACTGACAAAAATCCAAAAAACGAAAAAGAAAAAAAATATGCAATTACATAGAATCCGCGTTCTGGTTAATGGTATTATGACTAGTGATCGGATATAAATGCTCTTAAAAATACCAAAAAATTTATTACTAATAAATTAATAAATTGTATTATGTAAAAAAAGTATAATATAAAAAATTAAGTTCAAAATGAAAATAACTTATATTATGTAGTACTATGTATAGTACTAATGATTCAATAAAGTCAATTTTTTTAGTCATAATACGAGAAATAGATCAAAAAATGCCCTAAAAAAGTATAAAATCCGTGAAATGCAAAAATGCCCCAAAAAAATTTTATGGTTAGAACACAGAGTACTTGAAACACATTTGTATCTTGGAAAGTATCATGTAAGGCATTTGAAAAAAAGATACAAATACGTTGAAATCCGAGCCCTAATTGTTATTTATATAGTACCTACAAAAATAAGCAATTATACAGGGTTATTCAAAATGATTCATCCGATTTAAAGTGCTTATATTATTTTATTTTTTAGGTTTAGAACAATATGTTATATATTAAATAAAAGAAAAATATGTCAATTTTAATTAACTGTATCTATAAATGTTCTATGTGAGCTCCTTTGGTTACATGAATAACATCTAGTACAAAACTCTCTCTAATTCGTCCCACGTTATCGTCGGATACACTAGGCCGGCCTGTGCTTTTTCCTTTGCACAAACACCCTGTTTCTTCAAATTGCTTATACCATCGACGTATGCTCTGAATAGTTGGAGCATCGATCCCGTAACGACGGCGAAAATCGCGTTTCACAGTTATCGTCGATTCACACTTCGAAAAATGCAACACACAAAATGCTTTGTGCTGTCCGGTCAACATATTTGCGAAAACTAACTTATCACCGTTAGCTATTATTTTAAAATAATGATATGACATCATAAAACTTGAGAATACCCTAATTAACTAAATTACTAATTAATAGACGATTAATTGGTATATAGTTTGATAAGATAAAATGTATTATTAACTATTTTATAGCCATTTTAAATCGGATGAATCATTTTGAATAACCCTGTATTTATTCAATTGGCAAATATATTTTTCTATATATATCTTCTGTTAGTAAATATATAATATATGTAGTTGCATTATAGCTGTATAATCTATACTTCAGAATTATTCTATATTATTAAACCCTCGAATGGTATACCTACGACCGAGTAAATGATTTCAAGCAATCGGAAAATTATATCGTAAACGCAAGGTACCTACATAATTGCAAAAATTAGTTTTAGCCGAATTTCGGCGGGTGACTTTGGTGAGGTGAAAGGCACAGAAGAAGCTAAGACTTACTTTGATGAACGGCTTAATGTAGTTCCTACTCTGTAAGAAGACCACCAACATTCTTTCGGCCGCGTCACTTCTAAAATACTCGAAATAATTTTCGATCGTATCCAGCCGACGTCCGACAACCACGTAGGCAGAACAGAACACCGAAACGTCATTAGACGTGACTAAAGCGATAGTCTTAACGGGGACGTCCACGTCGGATGGACGTCCGCCCGCACCGCCGTTGTCCCGCTGCGGGTAGAGCATGGCCACTATGGCGGCTGCCTCAGCAGTGTCGTCAGCCGCCACTTTCAAGCACCGCTGCAACGGTCCGAACGTTTTGTTCACGTACGCTGTTAACGTGGCCGTGGTCAACCGGTGTGGCCATTCCGGAGCGTAAGGAGCCAGGCGTCCTGCAGCAGCTGCCGGCATCAGAATTCCGACCAACACCGCGGTGGCGGTAAACGTCGTCAACCATCGCATTGTAAACTGTAAATATCCAGTGGCTAGGCTATGTATAAAAATGTCAGTAAATTTTACGTAAGCTTCAGTAAAATTGTTTTCGTAGATTGGGTGTAATTTACAATAAATGTTTAATTATCAACTCAATATTTGTTTTATCGTCAATAATTATCCATCAACTATTAATAACCCGTGCAGAATATCGATATTAGATTGGTACCTAGAAAATAGGTTAGCATTAGAGCTAAGATTTTAATGACCTAAAAAATACACAAAAATCTAAAAACGTACTTAAACGTGTAAAAAAAAAAATTAATTTAAAAATAACTATTATTTATTCATTTTTATATTACACAAAATAGGTAAAAATTTGTTTTAAGAAGTAAATTAAGCAAATATATGTGTATTCAAATTTGAGTTGAAAATTAATTATAATATTACTTTTTCAATATCAATGGATTGAATAGTAGATAATTGGAATTATTTAAACGACTATACAACACATATTAAAAAAAGCTTAAAATAAACAAAATTGAGTTTAAATACACAAAACTAACGTAATACAGTTGAACTTGGTTAACTCGAAGTTAAGAGGACCGGAAAAAAGTTCGAGTTATCCAAGAATTCGAGCTATCCAAATTGAAAATTTTTAAATCAGTACAAAATATATTAATTCCTACACATTTATTATGAAAAAAGTAATGTAATAAAAAATATTTATTGTGTATTTATATATGAATTATGTATATGTAATTTTAAAGAGGTATGTATTTATGTATAAATAAAAATGAGGTTAGAAAATTATTTCAAAAAGGTATTTATTTTTGTTTGAGTTTTGCTGTTGTTCGTAGCGTTTGTAATGAATCGTTGTAAACCATTTATCGGTAACGATATTATTAATGAGTAATGAATAATGATCTTATTTCCGATATTAAAATATAAACATAGGTACACGAGAGAAATATCAAAATTTTATAATATTAATAAAATTTAAAACTTTGAGTTATCAACGAAAATATTCGAGTTAAACAAGATTTTTTTACATTGTTTAAATAGGAAATTCACCGGAGAAAAAGTTCAAAGCATCGACGATTTCGAGTTAAGAAGTTCGAGATAACCAAGTTCGACTTTATTTGTAAAAATTACCTTAAAAATGCAAAATAAAAATTACACATATTGTTATGCGATGAAATAAATGTAGCTTTTGGTTAGAACTTAGAACTATATAGTACTTAAAGAAAAAAATGCAAAAGTCATCAAATTCTCGCTATAATTATCATCAATATTAAGTGTCTCGCAATATTAATTAACTTCCATAATTATAAAAGTTTAAGTTGTAATTGTAAATAAAATTGTAAATCATTATAATTGGAATACTTTAATAACCTAAAAAATAGCGATGAACTAAAATATAAAAAACTAAAACTAAAAATATATTTAAATTTATTACGTTAAATTTCAAAATATTTTAAAAACTATAGGTATTTAAAAAAAAAAATGAATATCCATATAATTTTTTTTTAAATCATCAAAGTAATTATCGTAATAACAATTGCAAATTCGAGTTTTACCGATATTTTTACATCATAAACTGTGTAGTATTCATTTAAATACACGCCTATTATTCACCTATAATCTTAATTTATCTTTATAATATCGAAACGAGTAGGGTAGCTCAATAGCCAATTTTATGAACACTAAAAAAAAATATTCAGTAAAATGTACACAAAATAAACTCTTATTTCTAGTATACGTAATTTATACATATTGCATACCTGTATTGATTTACGAATTCGTAGGATACACTCATTCACAGAGCAGTGCTATTGTGTTAGTTTTGGTTTGGATGAAGACTTGATGGATAATGTTAAGCGTACTAAGTTACACGGTTAGATTTATTGCGAATAGTCAAGTTCTAGTATGAAGCGTAATAATAATAATAATAATAATAATAATACAGTAATGGTCAAGAGCGTTCTTAAAAAATATTATACTTTTATATCAAGGCTCATTGTACATATTGTAGTTCAACAAATAGGGTAAGGATACTTGAAACTACGAGTCAGACAGCTGCATAAATATTAAAACGCAATCATTCTTAAAATAATATTCAATCTGAATATTATACTTGCACAGTTTTATTTTTTTACCACCCTTTTTTATATTTATATTTTATTTACTCATACAAGTTTGAAGAGGTCAAATAATGTAATCAAAGAACTTGTACCAAGGTATTAAAGTGTTAAATATTTATTTTTTTTCGGTAAATGTTAAAACTACAATACTCAATATTAAATTGGAATAATGTTGTTTGTTAGTGTTATTATGACTGTATAGTGTATAGCAACACAATATTTTTACATTATAATAAAAAATAACCCATTGATAACTAATCTAGTAATATAATTCGTACAGAATTAAGACTCATTAAAAAAAGATTGCCAAGATCTTCAGAACTTAGAAATTATTACACTCTTTATTCAATGATATAAATATTGTAAATGTATACAGTAAAAATATATATGTTACAGTTAAAACCCGAAATCCGTCGAAACTAGTTTTAACTAGTCAATACTAGTTTTCACAAATCCCTTTAGTCACTTCTAATTTTAACTAGTTAAAACTAGAATTTACTAAGACTATCACCGTCAAAAATAGTTTTAATTTATTTTATTTAGTTAGAATTAGATGTGTCTAAAATATTATATTAGTGAAAACTAGAATTATCTAGTAAAACTCCGTATTATTTATATTGATAGGTAAAACTAGTTTTAATTAGGGAATAGTAGAAACATTTAGTACATATTAAGTAATTATTAAATATAGACTTTTATTATATTATTTATTTCGGCAGGAAAAACTATCATGGCATTTAGAATTACATTGAATTTTATTTTTTTTACATAAACAACAATTTGTTCCGCAGGATGTTTTGCAAGTGCATTTTACAAAGCCTTGCTTTGAGCCCGTTGATGCTTTTGTTGCGGCTGTACGGAGGGAAATATGATTTTTTGGAATTTGATTCTCTGTCGAATTACCGTGCAATATTTAAAAATATAAAGTCTGTGGTCGAGTGCGTTTTATGTAGTATGAGTTCGAATATATGCGTTTTAGTTAAAATAAGTTTTTACTGATTTATTTAAACCTACGGTTAATTCTAGTTTTAACTAGTTAAAACTAGAAGTGACTAAAGGGATTTGTGAAAACTAGTATTGACTAGTTAAAACTAGTTTCAACGGATTTCGGGTTTTAACTGTAACATATATATCTATAAAATTTAAATAATAAATATGTGATACATATAAAATAAAAGCGTGCACTGAAAAAGCTAACAAAATGTATTTGTACAACCAATACATTTTTTTTTCAGTCAAAATTACATACCCATTACTTACCATCAAATCTTATTAACTGTGCTTTATATCTTGAAAATGATAACACAATTGAATATGAACTAGAATTATAATAGTTTCATAAAATTATAATACCCGGGGATATTATAATGCCCAATTTTTTTTATCTTTTATTCTCTTAATTAAATATAAAAAAATTAAATAAAATACTCTAGTTCATTAGACAGTTTTATGCTTTTATTATTAAACCACAATTGACATTATATATGTCACGCATGCAGCAAGCCAAATATTTTAAAGATGGCCAATATCTTAATTAAATATATATATATATATATATATTACATGTACAATATTTGATTATAAAAAATGAAAAAAAAAGTATATATATAAAATAAAATATCAATAGAACAAAAACTAAGAAAAGTGCATATGCATATTTTTAGATAATATAGTGCTTAATTAATAATGTTCACAATTTTATTTTAGTTGTTCATTAAACTTTACATAAAAAAAAAAAAAACAAAATACTAAATCAAATATTAATGCTATAAAATTTTAAATTAAAACATAAAAGGTATAAATTACCAATACTAAAATTAATATTTGTTAATCTTGACTTAATGAAAAACATAAATAGTTCAAATAAAATCAAAGCATATTTTAACATATAAAATAGGTGGCATGAGTGCCACCCGGTGAAAAATTAGTGCCACCTTGTGGTTAATGAATGTATCTTGTACCTAGTCACAAGTCAAAAACATAAAAGGAACCCAAAGTAGATATTTGGCCTAGTCTTTATTTCTTATAGACTATAGTGATAGTGCCACCTAATAAAAAATTCTTAAAATATGCTCTGAATAGAATAGATATTTACTATTTTTTATTGGCACATATTTTATAGGTATTATAATGCATTTTATTATTAAACAAATTTAGATTAAATTAAAGGTTGTTTTGATACTTAACATTACAGAAAAAAAGATTAAAATAATTAATACTTTTATAATATATGCTTTGAGAACAACTTGGAATTTATGTTATTACTATAATCATATGTAGAAACACTAGCGCCAATAAATCCACCATAACCTTTTGTCCCTTTAAAGTAAATTCCCAGTCCAGAAAATGGTATACCTGGATATGGTTCTACTGTCTGCATGTCAATAAAAGGTAATGTTGTTTGAGCAACATCGCGGTCAATAGATGAATGTGTAAACATAAGGTATTTGTTTGACGACATATCTGGTTCAGATGGAGAAATTGATTTGGTTGGCAAATCTGAATTATTTATGTCAATATGGGTTCTGCAAATGATTATATGATACATTATACATGTATATATATATATGTGTGTGTGTGTGTGTGTGTTGCAGTCAAAATAATTTACAAACCTTGGGTTTGCGGACAATTCAGTGTTTTCATTTCCAATCCAATAACTTTTCAACTCGGGTTCAATAAGTTTACCAGTCATAAAATCAAAAAGTGTAACACGAACTTCAATATTAAGGTGAGATCCAATCTTTCTAAATTTTACTCCTATAATAATTTATAAATATAAGTTATGATTAAAACACAAAATAAAAATATTTTACCTGTCACAACTGTATTTTCAGGAGCTATTACATTATCAATATCAATAGCGCGGGCTTCATATGTTAATGTATGATAGTCAACACCATCTTTTAATGTTTTATTCCTAGGAGAAAACTCAAAACCTGGTAGTTGAATCCATTGTCTGGAAGATTCATATATTTTTCCTCGAGGGCCAAGTTCACCTTCTTGTGCTTGTAAATGGAACATTTGTTTAACTTTAACAAACTTTATACCTGTTATAACTCTAAATAAAACACAACACAAATTATAAATGTAAGAACAGAAATTAATAAATTAATGGTTTAAGCTTACTTATTTTTTTTAATATCAGAAATAGAAGGTTTTAAACTGAAATATTTATCAGAAGAAGAATCATTTGAATCGCAAATGCAAAAACAGTAAGAACAATGCCAAATCAAATAATTCCACCAGCTATCCACCATACTTGTTGTACCTTTGCATTCAACTGATGAATCACCCAAAATTTTACCTCTTTCATACGCGATATAATCATAACGTCTATTGCTTCCATATTTCTATAAAGATTTATTTAAGTTAATTTCACTATTAATTATTATATTTAAAGTGCATTAAAAAAGAAACTTGAGATACTTCAAATCATTCTTTTTTTTTTTTTTAATCATACTTACAGATTGACAAATTCTCATATCAGAATCCAAATACTGACAATTTAATATACGTCCATTACAAACACGTTGTTTAGCACAAAATTGATCTTTAAAACATGATTTATGTTCTGCAATTTCATAGTATCCACAGTCTTTCATGCAGCTCTGCTCAACGTTCATATCAGCTTCATTTTCTATATAACCCTATTTATCAAAAATATATTTCATGAAATTTATATGAATTATATGTTATTACTAACACATAATATACTGAACAATGATAGTAATAATTAGTTATTAAATTAATTGTTTATAATATACTTGTAATAACTGTGTAACTTCTAAATAAGTTACATCTTTAACATGTTTTGCTGGATCACATTTCCAGTAGATATTACTTGAAGAAATTATTGAACTTTTTAAAGCATTGAGTTGTTCAATGATTCTTTTGTCAAATTGTTCCAATTGTTTTTTACTTTCAAACGTAAAATTCCCTGTAAAATAATTAACTATAGTTATAGAGCATTTTTGTACATGATTTTTCACAAATGGAAATAGAAAAAATATACACAATAATAAAATTAATATTAAAAATAAGATTTTTAAGAGGGCTTTATGCCAGTATTAATATTTTTGTTTATATTATTACAATATGTACATTTGTAATTCCAAGAAATATGGTTAACATTTTTTTTTAGATGAAAAATACCTAATAATATTAAAGTAAATAAGATTTTTAATATCTAACCAGTAACCACCCATATATTTACCTATTCTTAAAAGAGCTCAATATTTTTTTAGAACTTTGATATTTTAAATATTTAATAACACTTGTGTCAAAATTATTTAATTATTAGACAACTATAATATTGATTTCTTTAATTTGTATACAATATTTAGTATGTTAACTTGTCAAGAATTAATTTAAAAAATATATTTTAGAATATGAATGTGATGAAAAGAATAAACAAAGTATGAGTGCAGAAACTTCTATGTTTTAGTATAATGCATTATGTAAAATATATTATAATACCTTTTCCATATGTTTGCAGTAACATCCATGAATATTGCATAACAGAATATCCTTTTAATTGAGTGAGATGCAATGTTGTGTACAAATTAAAAATCAATTGTTGCAATGATTGTTTTTGATCACAAAGTAGATCACTATTTTTCTAAAATATAAAAGTACAAAATTATTTTTTCATTTCATTTATTAATATTAATATTATTTTTTTTTTTTATTTAAAATAATGCCATTGCAATATTTGTTTTCAAATCTCTTTCAGACCAATACTCAACATAAATAAAACATTCACATTAAATCGTTTTTCACAGTTTTTGAAGCTAAGACATATCAGTTGTATATTTTAATATTTAACTTAAGAAATAACAATAAAAATTGTATAAATTTAAATTAATATGAAATTGATTTTAGACAATAATTAGATATATCGATATGTCACACTCAAAAATATTATTCTCTATCATTTTTGTAATAGGTGATTTTAATCTAAGTTACTAGAAAAAAAAAATCAATTTTGCGTGAATATTTTAGTCCATGTCACACATGGGCCATAAAGAGAGAAAACTAATAGTTTTCTGATGTAACAAAATAGGCTATTAGTCATTACTCATTAGATAGGAAATATTTTTGTTCAGAAAATGAAACTTTTGATTTATTTATGTCTCAATGTTAAAAATTATTTAATATTACATATTTTATAATATTTTAATATTCATATCATAACATAATAAAAATAAATATAAATTTATAATTTATGCTATGAAGTATTTGTATAAATGTCATATTATATTCATATACCTAACCTATGTGAACACAATTTATAATATAAGATATCGGTGCATTTTTTTCAGTTTAATTAAATATTACCGATAACCGTTGGTATTACGTTTGAACAATTAGTTAAATATTTCATATCATTAAAATTATTTATATTATAATATTTAAGCAAAGTTAAAGTGGTACGAAATAATCAAAAAAATAAAAATATTAGTTCAATATTGATTGACAATTAGATTCTTATTAGTAATTACTTATTAATCAATACTAGGTACTTTTATCATCTTTATCTCTTTAAGAATACAATAATACAACAATATATTATATTAACACTAAAACACACATAGTAAAAATTGATAATGACACTGACTACCTAATTCGACGCCACTGGTAAAACGAATAAAATATGTCTGTCGTCTCAAATATTTTCCAACTACTTTAATGTTAAAATATTAAGTAGTTAGTAGACAGTTGTAGGGATTACACTAAATCTGATTTAACGATTATATTATTATATCATATATAGTTATAATTTATCTGTAATCATTATAATTATTGTTGTTTTGTGATCGTGTAAAGCATAATGTAACGTCTATAATAATTAGATACCTATTACAGTTGATGTATCACTTCATATTTGATCTAAGTTTAGGTTATTCAATCATCAGTCTGTGAACGTTAAAATAAACGGAAAACATTATTTTAATTATTTTATACAAATAAATTTTTCATTATCATAAATAGGTATATGAATTATACTATTATACATTGATTATTATTTATCACTCAATATTCTTTACAGGAAAGTCACGTAAAGGACGGACTTCGGTTAAGATTAATGTTCATGTAACTAAAATATTAGTTTAAATGTTTTCAAAACTAGTAACTTTTATTTAATTTTGGTGCCTTAAAAGTCACTATAACTGATTTCCACTGTATACTAGAGTTTTACAGAACAAATGTTTACGAAATAATGATAGAGTAGATAAATTATTAATAATTACTAGAGTCTATCTCGGCTATAATTTTATACAAAGATTAATGCCACATAAAACTCTAATCATAAGCTAATCACAATATTTTAGTATTTTATATAGCGTGTAAAATAAAGTTCAGTAGTGGTAATTAATTTAAGTTTAACTATGCAGTATATAGTATACTAGTATAATGGTGTCACTTGACACCCTTAGAAATTATGTGGACATCAGGTAAGTATTTCAAACTCTCTATGTTTAGGTCATTTAATAATTAGAAATACCTTTAAGTCTCATATTGTGATTCTACTAGATTTATTAATTGGTGATAGTTAACAGTGACTTTAATAAGTAAAGGTAAAAAATATTGGACATGAATAATTGAATATTTTATGATAGTGCAGCCAACAGCCATGCAAATAATTTGATATGAGAGCTTGAAACAACATTAATTATTAATATGACTGGTTTATACAAGATCTTGGCACAAAATAATTATGCCACACAAGCATAACATTCCATGTAACACGAACATACAGATAAAATCTATAATCAAAAAAATATATTTTATGTAATATGAAGTAAATTAATGGTATACATTTTTTATGTGGTTAATTCAAACCGTATCTACAGATTGTGCTTTACCTACAAAAATGATTTATTGTAGTAATACACAACAATTGACAAAGAAATTATTTATCTAATGATCATTAATAACTCTACAAAAGTGGTAGTATATAATTGGGATATATTATCTTATAAATGTTGATACATTGCCATAGTAATATTTTATAATAATCAATATTGCTAAATGCAATAATATAGTTATTATTTATATTATTTAGATAAACTTAAGTTTAAAACTGTATTTTGATAGCTGAACTGCAATATTATCTAAATATAAGCTAATAAAAATAGATACTAATGTAATAAATAATAATGTATTAAGTGTCATACTCATAACCTTTTAAAAATTAAATTCAGTTTATATTAAAACAAAATTTTTTTTGTGATTTAATAAAACTAAAATTATGTTATGTAGGTTAAAAATTTCAAATATAATTTTACAGTTATTTTATACCTAACACTAGAATGATAACAATTAATAAAATTTAATTAAAATTTATGTAACAAAGTATTTATTTTAAATGGACAGATAAATAATATTAATTTTAAATCGTAATAATTTATATTATTACTATTATTACTTTATATTTATATAATATTTATTTTGTAATAAATACTAACTCCTTATGGCCATGGTTCTCAACCGATATGTCACCGAGTAAGTCAAATGTGTCGTGTAAAGTACTATATTAAATGATACAACATTTTTAAAACAATTAATGAGCAAAAAAAGTCTTTTTTTATATTGTATCTATGGGCTACCTGGGTTAGTAGGTCGGTATCCTCCCAGTCTGGGCATGAGTGTGTCGCCATTTTTATGGATTTAAATTAGAGTGTTATCATACAAAAAAGATTAAGAACCAGTGCCTCATAGAGTACCATAATCTCATAAAATCACTTTTAAAATTTGTAACATTTTTAAATTATTTAATATCAATAAAGATTTTTGTAAAAATAAATAAAATTCTTTATGTGACTAAATTACAATTAATATAATTATTGATATAAACTATTTAGTTAATATAAAATTGATAATAAATTAACTTTAATTATAATCATTTATAAAAACTAGAACAAGAACTTACAATTTTGTTAAAAAAAAATTTAAGTAGATATCTACTAAATGAATTAATTTTCAATTAATGTCTCTGAAAATTATAATTTATATCTACGTTAAGGAAAGATGTAATAATATATAAATGCAAAAACATAAAAGATGTACTTATTAAAAATATTAGAACTATTGATTCCATTATTTAGATTATCTTATTCTATACACTAAACATTTTTTAAACATCCTTGAATAATATCGCATTACATTTTATAAATGTTTTATTTTGTATTCTTTTTACTACTAAGCATATAAGTATTTACTATTATGTAATTTAATTGATAAATTGTTTTCATAATCAAAAATTAAAATTAAATCTTGTGGCTGTGGACTATGGTCATTAATTATTATTTATGATAAAGACTTAAATTAAAAGAACATTTATAAAATTCTAGAACAACATAATACAATTATTAGTCATTATATTTTAATGATTATTACAAATAGATAATTAAAAATATTTAAAATAAATGTATACCTAATTTCCTTTGCAGGGGGGGATGTGAGAGGAGGTCAGTTGACCCAAAATTGATTATATCAGTTTAAAGGAGGTCTCTGTTCTGACATAACTGCATAATTTTTAACCTCAGTTTTTATTTGAAAAATTATGTAAAACATTAATAATTTAAAAATACAAATCTTGGCCAAATTTTTGATATCACTACATAGTACATAGTAATTCTATTGAAAGATAATTAATAAATATTTTAAAACTAACTATACCACAACATTATTTTTGGTACCTAATTTATTTTAAAGAAAATTAAAATTTCAATCATTGCTAACAATAAAATAAGCTAAAGCTATTCCTATATACCTATTCTTTAATAACAAGGATGATTATTTATTTTTTGATTCTGAACGAAGTGATGAATGTATTGATTTTACAATGATGTGTTTTTTTTTGGTGTGTGTCTGTACAGCATAAGTAGTCGAAATAACGCTTCAATTTCAAACTTCAGGGGTGGTTTCCGATGGCAAAGTGAATATCCTTGGTGCATTATAGAGGTAAAAAGTAAACACTTTCCAACAGTTTTCAAAAAAATCGAGAAAAAAAAAAAATGACGGAAAAACGACAATTTTTATGCAAAACCAGTTTTCGAACAAATCGATTTTTTTATATGGTTGTATTTCAAAAATGTTGACTTTTTTTGAGTTATTTATAGACCACTGAAATTATCGACTTTTATGAGAATTTTTTTTTTGAAGTGTCGATAAAAAAATCTTGGATTACCAAAAAGTTTTGAAAATTTAATACAAGGTTCCTTATGAGTTGTTCTTATTGTAGCTAAAAAAAATTAAAAATCGTTAGTCACAATTTTTTTTTTTTATAAACGTTTATAGTTCAAATATTTACGAAGAAATCTATCGAAAACGCAAAAATTTGTAAGTAATTTTAAAGTTGAAAAATCATAAAATGTTGTGTGTTTATAACTAAAGATTAAAAATACTACACTATATTTTCCCTAAGTTTTCCTTCAAGTAGCTATAGTAAAAACTCGAAGCATCATTACAGAAAAAATTTTAAGTGCGTTTGAATTTAAAATTTTTACGAAATAGCGTAACGATAACGATTTTAAATATTTGTTAATATTCAAAAAGTATAAGTCGTAGATACTTGAAAATTTTACCAGTTATTTAGATTGGCATTTTCTTTAC